TGGAAGTCGTGGTTAGTAAGCTGCTGTGCTTAGTTAATTTTGCATGTGTATTTCCCTGACATCTGCTGGCTGCTGTTTAGTGGTTTAACCGCAATGTTTAGCAGTTCAGAAGCTCATGCCTTTATATTTTTTAAATAATGCAGGGTATAAATGCAAAAAGACCAGACCCAGGTGCAGTAATCATGGAGAAATAATAACAATAGCAATGAAAAATAAAGATGTTTCCTAATGAAATAGGGTATTTAAAAATGCATAATTCCCAGAACGTTCTCTAATCTACAGAAAAACAGAACGAGTGTTTTAAGGACCTAAATCAAGTTACAGATTCCAGGAGGTTATTAAATTCATTGTTGATTTGAAGCATTCAAAGCATTCATTTTCATTTTTGAATGCACTCAGGCTGGACAGATTTATCAGAGATACAGAAGTGTCTCCTTTTTCATTTATGCTTGCACAGCCATCTCGTTTTCTCGTTTCTCAGTTTCTTTTTTTACTATTAGTGGTGAGGTTATCGGGGTGAGCTGGGCTTACCCGTGGTAGACGTCTGTTTTTGACCTTTTCTTGCCTCCCGTTGCTGGTCTCTCACACAGAGAGACCCCAGGTGCTTGTAGTCTGGGAATCTTAGGGATGTGAGATACCCCAGGTGGGCTCTCATTGTATCAGGTGACTTCACACAGTAACTATTTGGAATCTTCCCTTGGGCATCTAACTGGTAGGTGTCAGTTAACCTTCAGCGGTCCTAAATGGTAAACCTTGTGCACTGAAAATAGTGTGTACTGAAGAACTTCAGTTTCACTGAAAAGTTTTAACTGGCAACTCTCCTTGCCAGGAGAGTAAACTACCATTTACAAGAAGCCAGTGTTCTGTCAGTTTGTCAAAGTTAAAAAGGAATTACTAAATTAGTGCTGTACAAATTCACCGCCCTTCTGGGAGGACTCCATTTACTTTAAAAGTGTTTTAGTTAGAAAAGAAACATAATCAAGAACACCAAAAATATCTATAATCCTCAGCATGGGACAACGTGTAGAAGTATGAATCTGTTGGCCACTAACAGCACAGAAGTTGTGATTTATGGTTGTGACAAACTGGTAATAAGCTTACACTGGACACTCCACTCAAAGCGCTTTACAGGTAATGGGGACTCCCCTCCACCACCACCAATGTGCAGCATCCACCTGGATGATGCGACGGCAGCCATAGTGCGCCAGAACGCTCACCACACATCAGCTATCAGTGGGGAGGAGAGCAGAGTAATTAAGCGGGGGATTGTAAGGAGGCCATGATTGATAAAGGCCAATGGGAAATTTGGCCAGGATGCCGGGGTACACCCCTACTCTTTTCGAGAAACACCCTGGGATTTTTAATGACCTCGGTTTTACGTCTCATCCGAAGGACGGCGCCTGTTTACAGTATAGTGTCCCCGTCACTACACTGGGGCATTAGGACCCACATGAGCCGCAGGGTTAGCGCCCCCTGCTGGCCCCACTAACGCCTCTTCCAGCAGCAACCTTAGTTTTTCCCAGGTGGTCTCCCATCCAGGTACTGACCAGGCTCACACCTGCTTAGCTTCAGTGGGTTGCCAGTTGTGAGTTCCAGGGTGATATGGCTGCTGGCTATCACCAGCCCTTGAAAAGTCTTTGACAGTGTGAAAAGTGCAATTGACATATCTTTAAAATGTCTACCTTGTCTGAGTACTCATATTTAGAACTTCAATCTTCATCTTTACAGAGCTGTCTCTTCCAGGGGAGAAAAAAAAAACTTCTGTGCAGTAGCTGCTGGAGTTCTATGCAGGATCTGTGTTCCTGTTGCTAGCTTCAACTGTGTTTTGTCACATCTGTTTTGTCAAGTATGTGACTAATTGCATATTTGTCTAGCACCTGATGGAGTGCATGCACTCTTAAATGAAGGTTACTGGATATCCATAGTGTTGCAGAAACCATCTCGGTGTAGCCACATGGTTTCAGGAATGCATGATTCTTAAAATAGAGCTTGATGTAATCTTTCGATCATTAAGAGCAAGCAAACAAGCAAGATGACCCCAATGGCTTCCTCACCTTTGTAACACATTTCCTGTTCTTATGTTCTTAAAGCCATTGCTTTGTATGTGTATATGTACATTATGTACAGAGAAGTTAGAAGGTATGTTTACCACATCAGTGTTGTCAGCATAGAAGTGGCAAACTTTCTAAATTTCTGTACGGTATTGCTTAAGGCTTCATAGGAGATTGAATGCTGGAGTTAAACAAAAAAGAGGATTTGTTTTCTTTACGAAGATTGTTTAGGCATCAGACAAACCACAAAACAGAACCTTACGTGGGATACATTTGATCAAAACATTATTTTTAATATTTTAACAAAAGCCATCCTTCAGCTGCAGATAACCCGAATGTTCTGACGGATAAGCTGAGTACACACTTCGATAAAGTCACTTAGAACATCTTTATTTCAAAACTTTCTTCCATTAATCTGCATATTGTTTTCATGCAAAGGAAGGAATACAATAATACATGCGTCAGTGGTGCTAACCACCACCGCACTGTATTTTGATATGCTTGTGTGCAGGTTCTGCAGTCGGCATGTTGCTGTAGTTCAAAAGATTCTTCATCTGGTGCTGAAACTGTTAACTTTAGAAGTACGTTTCCGCTTATAAGCAAGTATTGTAATGTGATGCACTGTTCAACTTGAAAAGAACCACATCCCACCTGTAATAGACTGTTGTATCACAGAGGTAACCCGTCTCGGATGCACATCGAGTTAAGACAAGTACTTTGCAGCATTAAATTTCAGAGTCATGGGAAACAGTGCACTGCTTGAAATGCAACTTTTTATTGCTCTTTTTATAATTCAAACCATGTCGACAATTGTGCTTTTCCCTTTTTGTAAGAAAGATCAAAACATAACATTCTTTAAAATTTTGAGATCTAAATAACAGACTACACCATATAAATGGGTAAAGGGAAAGGAAATCTAACACTTCACTGCCTCAGGTTTACTTGCTCAAGTACCCTGGAAACTCTAAAGTTCACAAAAAATGTTTAGTACAGCTAAAGATGTTTTCTACAGTAATCATACTAAATATATGTATCTGCATTATTTTATAAGCATGAAGAACAGTTGTTTAAAGTTTCCATTTAATATTTTAATGCATGTCATTTTAAAATTTGACAGTTTTATGATGTATGATTATTAACATTCCAGTGGATTCTGTACATGTATGCAGCTACTGCATATAATTAGTGTTGTATATCTGTGTAATGCTGCTAGTGCATAGCTGTGAAAATATTTGTAGAGTGCATATACAGTAAAGCTATAGTTGCCACACTTGTATCAGATAAGAGCTTATCTCAAAAAAGCAAAGATCTGCCAAAGATAGCATTTCCAGTACAAGTGAAATACTTATTTACACGATTTAGAGATGCTACCACAGCATGGCAAAAAAAACACCTTCTTATTTTTGGTTTGAGTTAAAAGCTAGTTTTCTGCTTAGCTTCCATTGGAACCCAGCCCCCAGTCAGTTTATTGATTTGGACTGAATTTTAAAAGCTTGTACATGTACAACCTAGATTTTTTAGGTTGTTTCCGGCAAAAAGTAAGCATCAGTAAAGTAAGTCAATTCTATGCAAGGGCAGTATAATTAAAGTAGTCATTGTATATTTGTAACAGTCAACTTTATCAAAGACATTTCAGTTATGTGCACTTATTATTGGTGGTTAAATATGGGTGGCGTTGTACATTTTAAAAGTGAAAGGACAGCTAACTATTGAATTAAGTTTAATATTCAGTTGGGTGTTTCTGTAGTTGTAAATTGTGTATTTTGTAGGTCCTTAAAACTTTGTGTTGTAAAAATGTTTAAAAAATCATCTGTCTGACTAATTATCCTTGGTAATTGGACAGGTGTTAAAAATGTAACTGTGCATGATGAACTTTGCCTTGCAAAAGGAAGTGAAAAGGCTATAGAAATACTAATTTGTATATTCTTGTAAAACATAAAGTTTACTGAGACTGGAAATGTCTTACAAGATCAAGATTATCTACAGTTGATAAAAGTAATAAGGCTCTTACGTTTGAAATACAGTCTGGTTACCCTATGATAGAGTCACAGTAGTGTCAAAATATTAGTGGGATTAGTGTTTCACAGTGTGAAGAAAATCACCCCTGTTCCTGTCTATTCCAGGCATAGAATCATTAGGAAGAGGTCCCTGGAAATGTTACTGTGTTTAATAAAAAAAAAAGTTTAGCCAATATGGATGAAACACCCTCCCCCTCAAATACTGTGAAAGAAAATATGGTAGTTTAATGACTTGTAGTTTTACTTTTGAATATATCGCTAATGATCTAACATTTTCTTTGATGTAAACTATTGAACTACTGTATTTAACATTGAGTAACAACTTCATTATTGCAACGTGGATTTAGTGAATTGTGGTTTCATTTGGAGGCAGTCGCCATTTCTAATGTTGTACATACAGAATGGTGTATTTTCCTGCCTAAAAAGCTCAGCAACTTGTTTTGAATGAATATGAATAAGATAAACGAATAGCTCGTTTTCTAAATGTGTTGTCTACAAAACAGGAATTGATGCAAAAGAAAAACTTCCATGACCTGTTTGAGTGCTTTTCTCTTATTGTGTCTCATAAGAAAATAGAGTTGGCTCCTAGCAAGATTTTTTTTATTATCCCAAGTCATTATATGTCAGGCTTTTGACTGTTACGCATTATTGTAAGAGCACATTCTTCGTGGTGGGCAAGCTTTTCAGCTATGTATGGGAATTTGTAGAGACTGAAAACGCTTACAGGAATTCAGGTCTTTCTTGGAATCAAGCCCTCTTCCCAGAAATGGGGGTAATTCAAGGGCATTGTTTAAGCAGTATAAATCACAAAGTTTGTTTTATTTTGCAGAATTATTCTCGGAATAAACTAGGTTAGAAATTTGCTACAGCTGTTTTACTGACTGGAAAGTTTTAGGTAAAAATGTACTCAACTGTATATATTTGTTTTCAGAGATATCGTCGACCTCATTCAGGATGGAATTTTCCCAAATAATGGTTCTGCTGCTCTTCTTGGCTCCTGCTGCTCCTCCTGCTGCCAGTAAGTCCAACATTTTAATATGGTTTTCATGTATGCTATATTAATTAGGTATTTTTGCTGAATGAATGAAAAAATATGCATTTTGTCCTTTAAAAAAGTTCTTTGTTCTGACCTAAACTGATATAAAACTGCCATTTGTTAGGAAGGGTGCACTGATGCTCATGCAGCAAAAACTTTGGAAACAAAATGAAGTTGTTCCTGTTTTGTAATGGGAGGAAATGTCTTTTTAAAAGAAATTAAAGTTAATATGTGGCATACCAAGATCTGTTATTATTTTCAGCACTATCATTTGTCTTCTAACGCGAGCGTACAAGCTGGTCTATGGTTAATGTGCAACTTTAAAAATAGACCTAAACTGAAAGGTGAGGTGTTCCAAGTAAGAGCTTATAAACTGTTCAAATTTTGTTTTCAAACTTCCTGACCTGTTCCTGCCTGGAAATGGGTTTATAAACACTTTTTGTCCTTCATTGTTGTTAGCATAGCCGGGTGGTCTCAAAAGACCCCTCCCTTGTGTGGGTAAAGGTTAACACTGGACTTCAAAGGTGATTCTTTAATGACTTATGGCCATTTAATTATGTGCATAGGAATGAAGCAGCAATATGATTTCATCACTCACAAGAGCAGTACCTAGTTTATGCACATATACCGTATTATGACGTCTCTATTTTTTGTTTTAAAATCTCGTCTTGACTCACAGGATTTTAGGGTAAGATAGTCACCCTGTCAAAGAAGCACATGAGCTATTGTCTTGACGTTGGTTTGCATACATTATTCTCATTGGTGACAGGGACTCTGCACCACACTTGTTAGTTGAACCTTGATCCGAGTCTCATTCTGGCACCCAATCCCAGCTAAAAGACTGACTTTGAGTGTTCTGGGACTGTCCCACAGAGGTGTGCACACTCTGAAGTTGTCCCTAAGCCTCTTTCCACTCATATCTGTATGAGGTGGTGCGCTACGCTTTCACTAATTGTTGTAGTGTCCAGGGTCAGAAACCTGTTTTCTTCAGCACCCATGCAGTCAAACATGTTCCTGTTTGAGTGGGCGGAGACCCCCCCCCCCACACACACTATAGCATAAGTGTTAGTGAGCTATTTTGATTTCCCTAAACGAGCTACCTGCTCTGATTATCGACGGTTTTAAATGCGGCACTCACACAACACCCATGAAGAAAGTAGTCCCTCCTTCCTGCGGCAGTTTTCTTTGTTGCCGAGTGAGATGGGCCTTGTGGGCCCCTGTCTGTTGCGTCAGTCGGGTTGCTTTCTCCCAGGACGGTGCTTCTGGTAACTGTTGCATTGGCAAAGGTGAGAAAGTGCCCATCTGGCTCCGGCAGTCAAATGTTATTTTTAAACAAACCCCACTTCGGTTCCAAAGCGGCAGGAGCTGCCTTCTTTCCTTGCCAGTGATCGTATTACATCGAGACATTAAACAGTTATCAGTTAGGTTTCTCAGTGCCATAGCTCGGGTGTGATCACTTTACTGCACTCATTGCAAGAGCTCTGGTCTTTTGTATTGACTGAAGTATACTGTAGTAGAAAAATCGTTTTCATCTGTTACAGTATGCGTCTCACGCAAAATGTAATTATTTTCCCAGGTAGATTAAGTCATTAGGAAGCTATAGAGTTTTAGGGGGGTTTCAGTAGTAATCATTAGCTGTATTTTCACCAGCACAAATACTCAGAACAAGAGAATGGATTCGAATCCAGTATCAGTGCTTCTATACACAGAATCCTACCCTCTATCCTTGCAGAAGCTGATTTTGTACTTCAGACTAAGTGGACGAGAGTTAAAATTTCAGCAACAGCTCACGATTGCCTCCCCATTGCAGATTAAGATGTAAAAACACATTAGAGAAAAACGTTTGGCATGTTTCTTAGGTAACTCATTGTTAAGTGACACTTCTAAATATTCTTTGATAAATAATCAGATAAGTAAAAAGAATTTGTAAAATTAGCCTTTTTCACATTTCTTCCTGCTGTCTTGATTCACTTCCCCTGCTGAAGATAATTTCAAATGATGGCACCTGGTAATGTCCTTACAGCAGAAGCTCAGCCCTTTGTTCTTTACATAAGCACACAGTCTGCTACTGCAAGAGCTACCCCCTACTATTTTAAAGTAGTGTGATTCTTACCAGAAATCTGCTAGTACACAACCGTTAGCACACCAATTGTTTGCTCCATGTGACGTGCATACACCTTCAGGGCGCTGCTGTGGAGCCCCAGGCGCTGGCATGTCCAAGAGTGTGTTAACTGATGAAGCCCACATGTCTTCCCATACTCAGTGCTCTTCACTGCAACACATGTCCTAATAAAGCAGTATACTGTGAAGTGGTGGTGTCTGTCTCCCGTTTTGAAAGAACCAGTACTGATAGCAACCTGTTTTTTGCTTTTTACTTTGTTATTATTAATTACAGGTCAGCATGACTTTTGCTGTGGAAAGATTGTACCGGAGTCTCCAGTTATTGAACTGAACACGAACTTCACAGCCACATGTGTCCTCTCTGAATCTGGCATGCTCAAAACCCAGGCCACAGCGGATGATGTGTTCTGGAGATTTAAAAATTACAACATTCCTCGAGATCATTATACCAAAATAAACAACTCAGCTGTCAGCATCACTGTGAATGTTACCAGGGAGCTGGAGAAACCTTTAACATGCAATGTGTTGTCACATGGACAGATTGAACAAGTTGTCTATGGAATTTTTTTTGAAACTGGATGTAAGTATGTCATTCTTCTACGATCAGCAAATTCAGTACTGTATTATGGAAAGGCTGAATCGTTTTACCGAAGATGATGTTTTGGTGTTTGCATTTATGCTAGATTGTTATCTTAGCTTACTTCTCAAGTATGTGTGCTTGAGGCAGTTGTAGCTATGGATAATAATTTGGGTTTTGCTGTCATCTCAGTGTCAGTGCCAACTTAGTGTGGACCTTTTTTTCCATGAGTTTGGGACTTAATCTCTTTGAATGGAGTATTGTGTTTTTTTTTTAGTTGATTCTGTAGTCTTCCATTGTCAGTGCAGTAGAAAATAAAGTGTGACATTTAAATTAATTTGATGCATTTAAATTAACATTTTTGCTTTATGTTTGTAGATCCTCCTGAAAAACCCCAGAATCTGACCTGTCAAGTGTTGCAGTCTGGAGGTTCTCTTTCTCCTCTCATGCAGTGTTCCTGGGATCCTGGGAACAGAGACCCGATTTTGGTCACCAGTTATACTCTAGTTGCTAAGAAGTATGTTTTCTTCTTTCAGCTTTTTCCTTTGAACATACATTTTGAGTACTGTGAACAGGTCTAAATAATTTATAAATATTGTATAAACTTGAATTATAATTATAACAAATAGCTACTGTATTTGACTGTTATTAAAGAACACCTTTAGTAGACGGTTATACAGACCGTTAGACCGTATAAAACCGTTATTAAAGAACCTTTTGGAAGATTTACTTTTTAATATTTACTTTATTGGGTGGGGAGTAACTGCTTTCCTTTTCTTTCGATAGATTTTCAAGTAAGTACAGTAGTCAGTCTACACAGAACCATGGTGAACTGGACTTCAAGGTCATGCCAGTTTTCACTTACGTGTCCATATGGGTAGAGGTGGAGAACAGACTTGGCAAGGTTGAATCAGACAAACTACGTCAGGATCCATTGGATATTGGTATGTACTGATCAGTTTTAAAAAAAAGGAGCTAAAGACTGTTGAGGATACCTCGACACGTTTTTTTTGTGTGTTTCTTTTGACTCCCACAATTATCTATGCTGGGCTTAGTATTGCTGCCTCAACGGGGCCCTGGGTTTAATTCCTAGGGTGCTATCCTGTCTGTTTCCCGCCTTGCATCTGTTGCCTGCCAGCTAGGCTCTGGCATCCCACTCGACCCTGCACAGAAGTGAATGGATGGATGCATGGGGTTATCTTTGAAGGACCACCGTATGATCCAATAACACTGTCACGATCTTGCCCACCATTTGGATGTTAGGCATTTACTTTTTTTAACTTTGGCAGGCACACTTTTGAAAAAAGCAGCATGCATGGCTCTTGAGTATTATTTTTTTTATTATTTTCACTTAGCTATGATCAATTGTTCTTAACCTCCTGTTTATTTGTAATATATTTTCTTCACTTGTTTACTGTTTGAGTGGTAGTTATGAGCTCTTGAATCATATAGGAGTTTCTGTTTAGATGGTCAGTGGTTATTTTTGGGTTTTCTTACTTTTTTGCAAAACTTGACAGTTCTGAATGACTTAAAATGATTGATACTGTTTCATTTGGCACAACTTAAAATACTTAATTTGTGATAGTCTTTTGACTATTTGAATATTATCTGGTTTATCTGAGAATTTATGGGTGTAGTCAAGTTATGATTTGAGAAGATATTTTCTAAGATATAATTGTTGTGATACTTTGTGATGTCATTTTAATGTTTTTGTCTGACAGTGAAACCACAACCTCTTCAGAATATAAAAATCACTTCTGAAGAGGCATTTCCTAACACATTGTTAGTTGAGTGGAGCCAGCCTTTTCCCCCTGAGTACATGAAAATGATGTACAACGTTCGATATTGTCCTATTGGATCTGATATCTGGTCTGAGGTAAAATAAAATGTACATGGTCTTTTTCACTCTTCAAAAAGTCAGGACTGATTTTGTGGGGGGGGGGGGGGTTCTGCAAAAAACTGAAAGCTAAGCTTCTTGATTGATCTTGAGTCAGCCAGGAAATCTTCTGCTTGCCCAGCTGGCATACTCAGTGCCTGTCCTCTTGTCAGTTACAGGGAGACACTCCTACAGTCATTCTTCCAATCAGCGCTATCTGTCCCACGTGAATAATAATAAATACATGTATAAGGAAATCTTTGAAGATGAGACAGGACTCACAAAATGAAAGAACTCTATTTCAGTGTGTGCATAGCATCGATGCTGTCGATATTTTTATACCAAAAAGTCAGTCCACACACCAGTCTTGTTTCAGACTGTAAATTCAATTTAAGAAGCATTTTAAAAATTGGTTACAGTGCTACTGATCTTAAAATTCTTTTTTGCTTATGAAGTACAGTAAACACAGCAAAGACAATTTTACTACTACTTTTTACTACAAAAATTTGATTACTTTTTCTTTTCAGGTTCCCTTGGATGATACTAACAGTAACATGGAGTCTTTCCGACTTCAAGCCCTTAAACCTTTCACTGAATATGCTGTTCAGGTGAGGTGTAGAAAAGAAGATGGCAGGGGTTACTGGAGTGACTGGAGTCCAAACGTCACGGCTATGACTGCAGAAGCTGGTGAGATTTTCTCTCCTGCAGACCGCTCACCCATGTCCCCACAGCCACTTCTGGTTAGGTGTTCCCTAGCTGTCACGACAAACAAAGCAGCAGGCAATTCACTGTGAATAGTATGCAGGAAGAATTCACTTTGTTGGTCTTTTAATCATGGGGGTCATAAAAGAGGTTTTGTGTTTGACCAAACCATAGTCTGTTTCAGTTTTAGTGTGTATGCCCTTTGTGTTAGTCTAAAGGAAATTTCAGGCCATCTCCCACAGGATAAAAAAATCTGTGTAAGATGTTCTGACACTGGGTACTTTCCACTTTCTGCCCCTGCTTGCAACTAACATAAGACAGGTCAGTGAGCAAGCATATAATTCTTAACAAGTACAACTTTATGAAAAAGACTTGCCAAGAACTTTTATAAAGCTAATGATATATTTAATCTGAAAAGAGTAGTTTGGTTCCCTGTGATCATTAATTGTAGACTGCAAAATGTTAAAATGTTAAAGAATTTAGCAATTCTGTTAATTACATTTTATGCACGTTGGTTTAAAAATAAGTTGGGAAATGAGAAATGTACTTCCCAGACACTTCATTTTATTTCTCTTGTTCTTTTAAGTAACTTTAATTTGGTCCATTGAAGCAGTCACCTCTTGTTTCTTTGCGATTTCCTTTTTACAGTCTAGGCAGCAGTGCAGATAAAAAGCTACTAAAGTGATTGCTTAATGCAGAAATGGAACCATTATGGTACCACTAAGCTCTGTCTATCCCCCATTATGCATGAAAATATTGGTTGCTGACAAAACAGTGTTTTGTACAGTAATTGGAAGTGACTGCTGAATACTTTATTTCAGGTTTGAATACATAAACAGGTTTGACTGGGTAAATGCATGTCAGTGTTCCTCCAACCACGTTTTCATGTTTGGATGCAGGTTCAAGGCTTTAAGATGAAAGATTTGCTTCAAATTGTAATAAAACTGTGCATCTAATTCTTACAGTACGTGCCAATATATTTCTGTAAGTGTTCTGGTATTTTCACCCTTCTTTCCCAGCACCCTCTGTAAAGCCTGATCTGTGGAGAGTTGTCCTTCCTGGTGATGAGACAAACCAGAGGGATGTGCTGCTGATGTGGAAGGTAAAGGCACAAATTCATTACACTTCTCATCTCCACTGACACAAGGTTATGCTAAAGTTGCCAAAATCCAAATGAAAACTTCTCAGTTTGTTGTTCCAATATTCATTTTCTGGGCTTTCTTGGCTTCTGAATGTGAACCACTTATTTATTGAAAATGTCCAAAGATGGCCTTCTCAGGTTACTGCGTAGAAGTGATTTGTAAAACCTGCAAGACTTCAGACCTACACTTGATGTATGTTTTTATAGCAGTACTTTTTTTGAAAAGTGTAAAATTTTTCACAGACATAAATTTGACAAAAAACATTTGATACAGACAACATTTAAACTGGCACAGACAACAAAATGCAGCAGACCAAACAGACAGGTTGGTACATAAAATAACTAAAATATAACAAAAATATGGAGCTTTGCTTTTATCACCTAGACTTGGTTGTGTCAATTATCATGTAGAGTTTGTTCTCTAGAAGACTTAATCTTCACTGCACAATTTTTAGTCTTCAATGTGAATGTTTGGAAAAGCACTTATAGCACTTTAATATGTTTAAATAATCGGAATGGATGTTTTAAACTGTACACTTGCAATACAGGCATTTGAGATTTTGTGTAGTAAAAAATGTTTACAACTTTTTTCTTTGAAGTGCTAAGAACTGCTTCCTTTATTCTTGACGTTTTTACAAAATGTTTCTTTTTCATATTCTGTTGAACATTTAAATAATAAAATATATAATTCCCATTGTCAAGAAGATTAAAGATTAAAAAGGCAGATTAAAGAAGCTGAAAAACAGATGAAATTCACCAACATTGATTACAGAGCCCTTAGTGACCATTTTATGTGATCATTTTGGCATGTTTATTTTCTTTACAGGAACCTCCTGATATTAATGGCAAAATCATAGGATATGAAGTAAAATTAATAAGAGGAAGAGACGTTGAATCCAGAAGCTTTCAGATTAATGGGACAAATAAAATGATTTCGTTGCAAAAAGATCAAGACTGGACTGTAGAGGTTTCTGTAGTTAATTCAGAAGGGAAATCGCCTAAAGCATCTCTGGTCATTCCAAGAGCCAATCAACGTGGTATGATTTAATATTGCTGTTATTAACTCTATTTTTATTAACTTATTAATTCACATTAAGGAATGAAGTAGTCCCGTTTATGTCTTTTAAAATTCTCTGTTAAACCATTATAGAGTAAATATTTGCTTGAATCGCATGGGACTAATTAATGACCTTTTTGTATCTAAGGTATTTTATGATCCAAATAGCTTCTTATGTACAGTATGTACTTTTTAATATTAGGACTATAAAAAAGGCAGTTTCCATGTGCTTTTAGGTACCACGCCAGCTGCAAAATATGGTCTTAAACTGGATTTTGAGCAATTTCTTAATGTGTGGATCTGTCTCAGCATCCCCAATCACATGCATTCATCAGAAACATCAGTAGAAGGCTTGGCACGATGAGTGTTCTGTGCTGCATTGTTACTGACAGTGTGTCTCATGCTGTTCCTCTTTTGAGCAGAAATGTACTCAGTTGCAGTTCTTGAGACAGATGCACCTGCATGTTAATAATTTCTTTAAAACTGCCACTTACATCACAACAGTTTGCAGACATCATCTAAAAGCACATATGGAAACCTTTAAGTCTGTAAGGTAGTAAAAACTCCAGTTGTTGCATATGCAATACTGTATGTATTTTTGATCTTTGTCCATAATCATAATGATTTTTCTAGTTCCCTCTTTCAGAAGTATCAAATTAAAATGAACAGTGATGTATTTGCCATCATCAGACCTTACTTGTTCTCATTGAAATGATATAGACCCATAGACTGATCTGACTCCTATATTTTACAATTTCTTTGTATTCCATAAACAACAGGATCAGTTTTTTTGCAATTACTGGTTGTACTTGTTCACTTGAAGTGTTAGTCCGTGACACAGGAGAGCCAATACTGAAATGGGCGTTCTTTTCTTCTCTGTCACCTTTTAATGGCTGGAACACACTAAACAGGCATGACGAAGTGGCAGGGTAACAAAAACAGGATGCAGCGTGTATTAACTTACAAATACAGAGCTGGTACAGTAAGATGTAGTGTGTTCCATAGCAAACAACCATCATTGCATATATTAAGTCATTTATGTGGTTCTGCAGCACAAGTCTTAACTTCCTAGTTTTTCCCCCATTCGTACAGTATCTGCTCTGTTCTGTGGGCTGACGTCCCGTATCCGCAATGTTTCAGAGCTCCCAGGTGTGGAAGATGTGGGATGTTCTTCCCAGCACGGGAGGCTGCAGGTCACGTGGAAGCCGCCCCCCAGGGTTACCCTAGGCAGAGTAGCCGAGTATGTGATCGAGGTGGAGTGCATGAGCACCAAGACCGTGAGCTGGCAGCGAGAGAACTCCTTCACCAACCAGGCGTTTGTGACAGGTAGGCATGAAGAACTCCAGTCTGTACTTTTAATCCAAGTCAATTTCAATTCAAGATGCTTTATTGGCATGACCGATAAGTACAATCAGTGTTGCCGAAGCAAATCAATTGCTATTATCAAACTTTACTTGTTCTCATTCAAATGAAATAGACTCATAGACTGATCTGATCTGACTCCCAAGATAACACAATGACAGACAAAATTATATCAATCAAGAAGTCAGTGCAACGGTTCTACAGCAGGATAAGGGAGAGGATAGCTACATTACATTGTTTGAAAGAGTTATTGCAGCGGGGATGAAAGATTTCCTGTGTCTATCAATATTACATCTGGGGACACAGAGGCAAGTGTGAAGTTGCAGAGGAGGGGGTGAGAGACACAATCCAAAATTCATTTTGCTTTCTGCGCCACCCTTGGGTTGTAGAAGATATTTAAGGCGATTTGATTTGCCCCAATTCATTTGCTGCTTATTTTGACAAATGTTCCCAGCCTGTTAAAATCAAAGGTACTGATGTTACTAAACCAGCAGTCTGTAACCAGCAAGTGAGACAGTATGTTAAGACACTTTCAGTAAAAGACTAGTAATAAAGTGTTGGAATGGTTCTATCTAGCTTGAAAGAGCTCAGACTAGTTCAGTTCAGACTTGGAAGTAGTTCAGTCATTGAGGCCCGAGAATGAATGAAAAACCTGAGAGAAATGTGGCACCCCAGGACTGAGACATCATTTACACCCCCTTCACAGTAGTGGCAGTGGTTCATCTTATGAACAGCGGACGTGAGAATTCCAGCTGCAGAAAGACCCACCAACTTTATCAAACAGGCAAAAGTAGTTCAAGAGTTTGGTACTGTTTTGTCTTCATAATGGATTCGCCCTTTCTGAAGCTTTACAGGGTTCTGAACTAGTGGCAGTTAGTCACCATTTTTCTTCCAACATTATTTAAATATTTCTCCTTTAGAATGTATGATGCAGATGTCATTTGAAATAAGTACAAACACAGTTCATTATCCTTAGAAAGACCTACAAATACCACAGATACAAAGCAATTGTGCTACATTATTTGTGTATCAATGGCATTATGCAGTATTTAGGATTAAATATTACAATTATACTCTTATGAATGAAATAGCACAGAAATTCAAATTTGAAAAGGCAGAAACAAAATTCACTTTATAAAGTTGCTTGCTAGGATTTTTTTGTAATTCCCTTGTGTAATACTGTGGAAAGTGATGTTTATTTTGTCTCAAATGTAAGTAAACTTAAAATGTGTTTTTGTTGAATCACTTTATATCATGAAACAACATGTAAACACATAAGATGTTCTTATGCGAAATCTTTGATGCTAAGGTACCATACAGAAATCCTTGACACAATACAAATTTCTGTAAATTCTGTACTACCTTCGAATAAATATAAATATAAAGAATATATATAAAGAGTTTGCTGAGCCCAGTGGGTCACAGACCTCTCGCAGTTATTGCCTCAAAGGAACATGCAACCAAATACTAACTTGTACTTAATATGAATGTCTCAGTATGTACAATCACTTGAAATCACAAGAGTTGGGCACAAAGTTTTGGTTTAATATGAATAAATGTATACATGGAATTTCCCAAAAATAAAAGGTATATTATACTTATCATTCATATTGATCTCGCAATGACTAATACAAATTGCTTGACTGTAAAGCAAAACAAAACAGTTGAGACTTTGCTGTCTTAAGACACTTGGAGGGCAATATGCCATGTTAAGATAAGTGCATTTATGCCAGTGAGCAAGAGACACTTCTTCACACAGAGGGAGGTGGGTGTCTGGAACAAATTTCCCAGGCATGTTGTTAGAGCCGATTTGTCTTACTATTGTCAAAGGAACCACTGGATTCAAGTGAATGTGAGATTAATAAGCTACTAGCAAGCAGATATGCACAGTGTAGGTCTAATTGCTTCATCTTCTTTGTAACCTTTCTTGTATCGTGATTGTGCTTCAGGAGATCTTCAGCCTCTCAAACGCTACCACATATCTGTGTTTCCAATGTATGGGAACATTGCAGGAACAGCCCGCTCAGTAGAAGCATATCTTAAACAAGGACGTAAGTGTTCACTCTTTTTATAGAATACATTTTTTATTTTAGTTTGTTCAAGCCTATAAGCTTGTGACATTCAGCTTAACATGGCTGATTTTGTTAACAGTTTTAACACAGGCTTTTAAATTCTCTTCTCACATTTTACACCACAGTTTTGCTTGTTTTGCGTTGGTAAAAAAAAGTGAGAAGGTTAAAATGGGACTTTTCTTAGGTAAGGTTTGCCAAAATACATACATACTTACTAGCAAGGAACAGAATGCTATTCATATTAATTTAATAATACAGTTCTGAAGAATTATTTTATTCAGTCAATGTGACAGAATTTACTATAAGAATTCTATGAAACTTATTAAACTCAGGTGCTACAGTATTGTTTTTAATTTCAAAAATCCATTTTTTGGCGGTTTAGCTCCTTCTGTGGGTCCTTCCGTCTTTGCAAAGAAAAGAGGAAAAAATGAAGTTGAACTGCAGTGGGAAAGGATACCGCTGGAAAGTCAGAATGGATTCATCACCAATTACACCATATTCTATAAATCTGAAGGCAGGTTTGAAAAATGTAAGTAAGGAACTTTTGAGAAAGTCTGTATAATCAATCTTTTAAGAGTATGTGTCATCATACATCTAAATTTCCCTTTTATTTAATGCAAAATAGTTCCAGTAATTTCTGGCTTTACTTCTTTGCATCAAAACAAACTTAAATTTAACATTTCCATTTAAAAAAAGTAAGATTTTTCTAGAGCATAAAGAATTCATTGAGCACTGCTGCTCTTAGAATCAGTGCTGAGGAGTAAATTGATCTGTGCAATTAGTCTTCCTTGATGTGTTGAAAGAAGAGAATCATTATCTCTACAAGTAATTCACAGATTTTAATATTTTGTATTTTTCAGCAATTGTAGTGAGTCCCGAAACCCACATGTACACAATAAGGTCTCTGGCTAGTAACAGCATGTATGTGGTACATGTTATGGTATCTACTGAAGCAGGCTCCAGAAATGGCACAGACTTCACGTTTACCACTATGAAGTATGGTATGTAACTTTTAATAGTTCAATAATAAAAATAATCCAAAAAAAAGAAAAACATATACAAATTGTAAATTATTCAACATGTTTCTTAGTTGTTGAAAAATGTTTTTGTTCATGTAAAAATTACTCTTCTTAAATATGTTTAAGGTCTTTGTATGTTTTACTGTGAAGATGAATTTCACAGGATATTATTGTGTAAAAAGGCATTTATTAAGGCAACCTTTCATCCCATTTTTAAACAATTAAAAGTTCAGACTGAAGACTCAATAGAGACTTTCCAGAGTTACATGCAATGTGTTATTGCATAACCTGTGATTACAGCTAGTATTATGTTGGAAACAATGTTTGGGAAAGGCTGCAATGATCATACCATTAGTACAAATAACACTTATGGTCTCCATTCTAAATATATTACATTATCATTAGTTATTTATCCTTCCAAGAGGTTTTGATTGCATGTTCATTTTTAAACAGAAGCTATATTTGTAGCCCCTTACAACACCTTCCTATTTATGTCTTTTACCCTGGCCAGCTGGGGCTTTCCTGTACAGATCTGCAGATTTTTTTTTTTTCAGCTCAAAGCAGTAATTCGTTTTTAATACCAGTGACGGAGAACCACTGGGTTGTGTAATACCACTTCTCCGTTTCATATTTAGCACCTGGAGACATCGAAGCTGTTGTGGTACCCATTTGCATTGGCTTCCTGTTTCTGACTGTGCTGATTGTGCTCTTGTGCATTAATAAGAAGGAAACGTGAGTAAAACGCTCGTAATGTTTTACCACTTTGTCTTTTAATTTTACCCTTCACTCATTTCTCTCCAAGCAACATTTTTCTTGTTATTTTATACAGTAAATAAGGGAGATCTGCAAGTAAAATGAGTTTGCCATGAGTTACTGTGAGAACTGCAGGAGCAGTGGAATGATTCGGTTCTCTTATGCTGTAGTAAAATCAGGATTTAGAAAATGATGAGTGGAAAACTGAGCAGTTTTCACTGTCATATTCAAAGAACTAAGACCATATTTAAGGTTAGACTGTAATCTACTTTGTGATCTTGCATGGGACTAGACCAGACTAGTGTCCTTCTGAGAAAGGAGTGAGTAATTCGATCAAAGAATCTTATCATGCATTTGGATATAGTTTTATACATCCAGAAAACATCATACTGGATGCAGTGTATTACATACATTAGACTTTTTGGAGTCAAATGTTCACAGAACTCATTAAACATTTTCTTTATACGTGGCATTCAACCACATAAAGTAAACCAACCTTTTTAAACTTAAAGGTTATACAGTAAGACGTCTGAAGTAGGAACAAACTTGGCCTTGTGACCACTTAAGAAAGTCCATAATTAGCCTTCTTAAACTATCAATGTTGAATTCAACAAAGGTACAACAAACAAAATCCTGGAGGTAGGTTAGTTCTTCACCGTATGTCATGCCTATAAATTGCAAAACTTAAAATGCGTTTCACTACATGGGAGCAAATGGGTATAGCCTCCCAAGAAGTGAAAGATTTATAGAAGCTTGTGAAAGAATTGTAGATATTTATGTTTCCGTCTCTGCAGTGTACATTAGTTCATACTTTCTTAGCTCATACCTTTCTTGTGTGCTGTGCACTGATTCTACAAAGACCTGAAAAGATACTGAAATGTGCCAAATAAACTACAAAACAGAAACGCATTTCCGATGATATGCATTTCCATGAAACAGGCATCATTAATTAACAAGAACAATACCAGGTGCACCACTTGTGTGCATTATGTATTAGTATTGAAGCCTTTCCTGTTAGTACACAGCCCAGTCATTAAGCAGGGAGGTTAGTGAAGTTTGAAGGATTGCTGATTTTGAGAGCTACAGTTGCTTTTCCACAACTTTTGATAGCTCCTTGATACCCATAGTTGACTCTTTGAGAGTAAAAGTGGAGGGTAATTAGCGTGTTTTGTGATTTAGAAAGCAATTGCTTACACTGGAGCTATTTTACAATTACTTAGTACTTGCTACATGTCCAACCTATTTTTCTAGATTTTCATTTGTTGCTCATCAGAATGTTTGAGCTTTTGTTTTTCACCTGGCGATTGTGTGTTACAATGTTTAAAGGTGAAATAAATTCTGATTAGTCTTTATTTCAGGCCGTTAGGCATTACTTTAGAATGGATGTGTAGACTTTCTGTAGGCACTGTATATGGACATACCCCGAATTGTCAAAAAAGTAGGATTGCAAACTGAATTTCCATCCGGTGTTTTACAGTAGGAGTTCAGCCTCCACTAGTAAACTCATCAGTAAGACATATGATGGAGCTATGACACTTGACATTTGTCAACAAGACGTTTTGTGTAAAATCGAGACCATCGCAGCCTCTTTCTGGCCCAAGCCAGTCAAGTGTGACGTCTAGGAGGTGTGAGCACAGGGCCTCTGACAGGTCACCTTGCTCTAAGGCCAGCAGCATGGCGCCTCACTGTCCTGTCACTGATGCAGACATTGTGTCTGCCAGCTGTTTCAGGAACAGTACGGGTGGCAGATCTGAAACAATCTCTCAGATGGCCCAGTCTGATGCATCCGTCCTGCTCTAGTGTGGTCACTCGAGGGTGACCTGATCTTGGACAGTCTGTCCTGCCAGTCTGCTGAAACCTTCTCTGTAGTCGGGACACAGTGGAGCGGCTTACTCCATAGTGTCTGGCAACGCTGGCACATGACATCCCTGCCTGCAGCATGCCAATGGCCCTCTCTCTTGTTTCTAGAGACAGTCGAGGCATTATGGAATTCACAGAAAACTGACTAAGTGTGGCCTTTTCTTGCACTGACCAGAGCTTTGAATTAAGGCCGTTTTAAAGGTCACCTGATCAGGCATTGTTCCACCTGGACCTCGTTTGGTAAAAGTGCACCTAACGAGCTTTCGTGCGATTGGCAAGTTGCAATACCTCACTGCACAAGCTGTATTCCTGGTCAGAGGGCTTAAAACAAATTGATAACTTTATGTGAAAGTACATAAGATATAACTATAGTACTCACCAGAAAATTTTGCATTTCTTTTTTCCATCCGTATATATATAGTTTGTTCCTGTTAGTATAATTATTTTTGGATTATAATAAGGGTAATTTTAAAAGCATTCTCTACAGCATTTACATATTTATATTTGAATTAAAGGAAACCATTTTCACATTGACCATTCCTGAACATGTATAATATAATCTTCATCTTTTACCAAAAAATTAACTTATTTTATGAATTACTAAAGGTGCACCAAATTATTACATTTATCTAGTAAATTAGTTTAAACCAATTTATAACCAACTAGTTTTAATCTATTTAATGTCACCATAAGCTTATCACAATATTTAAATTAATATTAGATTTTAAAGTATAGTGTTTAATATTAAGGAATATACTGTGGTAGTGAAGCTCTTTATAGGTTTAGAAATAGAATGATTTTAATATATTATATGCCTTTTAATATATTCTCCTAATTTATATCTTATAAACAAAGCACAGACAATAATGCCTAGTGTATAAAATGAGCATAAACCTGACTCGACAACTTATGTTGCACATTGTTGATTCCTCTGATTAGACATTGGCAGTTGACCTAGCTTTAGAAAACTGTAACTCATAAAATAGAGAACATCCACATATTTTTCAGTTCATTTGCCTATTTCATTTACACATTTCGGGGGATATACTGTATGTGGTGCTTATTAATTAAGTTCTAGGATGTCCTTGCTTCAATTACATTTATGATGAAAAACATTTAAATGCCTTTTTTATGGCTGTAATATCGTTGCTTAATACTAGTTGAATTTAATTCAAAAAGGAAAGTTTTTATCTACACGTTGTATTTTGTTTTACTGTATATCATTGTGATTAAAAAACGAGTAATGTAAACTCTAAATAGTAAAAGTGATTTGAGAATATTTTTTTACATGCAGGATCAAGAAACATATTTGGCCTCAGGTGCCTGATCCCTCTAACAGTACTATTGGAAACTGGTCTCCAGATTCTCCAACACAGGTACGGTTATATCTATATACACAGAGAAAAAAAGAATCACCAATGTCATTCTTCTTTGCAGTGGTTACAGGGGTATTGCGTGGAATTTCTAATGCTAATGAAATTAGTGACAGCAGAGCTTGCCTGGCTTGGAAGAGAGGTAGCAGAGAAAATTTCATTCTTCAGCTGAAGGACTCTTTTGCATAACGTGCACATTGCCGTAATGCAAATGATGACCTCAACTGCACCAGAGTATTAAGATTTAACTGTATGTTGGGTATTATATAAACATGTTCACATGCGATTTGTTTAGTTCATATTGTTTTAACACTGATCTTCCAGCATAACCCACCAAAAGAACAGATGTGCCCAGAAGGCAGCTTGATAGACGTCAGTGTGGTGGAAATAGACGCATATGATAAGAAGTCTATGGGCGAGGAGGACAAGACCTCGCTGTCGCTGCGGAAGGGGAAGTACCTGTCAGAAGAGCACAGCAGCGGGATTGGGGGCTCGTCCTGCATGTCCTCCCCGCGGCAGAGTGTCTCTGACAGTGACGAGGGGGACTCGGGGCAGACCATCTCCAGCGCAGTGCAGTACTCCACCGTGGTGGCCAGTGGGTACAAGGGTCAGGTGCCCGCTGCCCCAGTCTTTGCCAGGTCCGAGTCCACCCAGCCCCTTCTCGACTCTGAGGAGCGGCCAGACGACCAGCACTTCTACGGGAACTTGAGAGAAGGGGAAGGCGAGCGACTGCCAACCACTGCCAGCCAGGCCGAGGGGTATCCCACCAGGCCGTATTTCAAAAGGGCCAGAACGGTCAATGACACACGGCCTGTGAAACTGAATCAGATTGAGATCGCAGGCAACAGTCCTGGCCCTTTAGGGTTTTGCCCAGCCGAAGAGGGAAATAGGCTGGAGCAGCCTGGCGAAGATTCTTCGCCACTGCCCAAGGACAGGTCCTGTGATGCAGTAAAAGGTTTTACTACGAAAGTAGAAAACAGTGTACCAAAGAGCTACATGCCACAGCAGAATGGTTACAGACCTCAGTGAAGAATACTGACCCCTACAACCTAAACTTGAGGACCTGATTCGCAGTGCAGCAAAGAGCTACAGAATGGTTGCAGATCTCACTGAAGAACACTGATCCCACAAAACCTTAAGGGCTTGACTTTTTTTTAGTCACTTCCATGGTGCCTGTGTTTAAAAGAAAAACTATACATTTTACCCAAACTACAGTATAATCCTACATGTGGACTGTGTAGCAAAATCTACTGAATTCTTTCTTCTAGGAGTTCAGTTTAAAATTTCATGGTGATTGTTGTCCTTGTTGAGTGTGTCAGTGGTGAACAACCAGGTTTATTTTCAAGAGTGAAATGTTTTTTTCTAGGCAATGCTGCTGTACCCAAGTAGCCCAGTTGGTTAGGGCAAGGTCATTGAAACTTTTATTTCTGATTTTTTTTTATTTTCTATGAATGTAATATCTCTCACAGTGCACAAACAAAATTATTTGCACTATTCAAGAAATTGCATAGCAAAGGTAATACCCCATACTCTTCAAAGAAAAGCAAAGAAGACCTGGATTTATAAATAAGGAGGTACTTTCCTAATTAGCCTTAATGTTGTAAAATCATCGTTCTATAAAACGGGATTTAGTTTGAAGGATTTAGTTGAAGGATTGGATAACCAGCTGATGATTCTGTGTTTGGTACATTAGTTAATACTGTTATGACTGTTAAATGCATTTCACTTTTTAATTTAAAACAAGAGTTTTGCTCATTGTAGTTAAGAATTAACCTTTTATTTAAAACAGTATTTTCAAGACTGACAGAAAATAAATTAGTAAAATGTCCATTTAAGATATACCTGACTAAACAATAATGTACTTTTGATATGTTTTTAATTGGCCACTATATAAAAATCCCACATTGTACAAGCATATACTGTTAAAGTATTTTTTAATTTACTGTATGAGCAATTTGACATCATGGATCAATGTTTGCATAATGCTTGGGACAATTTCAGATTTGTGGTTATAATATTCTGGTTTCCACATCGTCTAAATAGAAACTTGTAAAACTTAAATGTAACTAAAATGTTAAAGATCAATCTTGACACAAAAATGTTTTAAGCAAGTGTCTAAAAACCAGATGTTCTGCAAAAAGTGTGAGATCTTTGAGATGTGTACAATATACTGTATTTTAAATTACATCATTTGGCTAAAACTGACTAAAACAGTTCAACTGAATAATTTGTACATTTGTAGATTGACAGCTTTGGTTACCTCAGAAATACTGAAACGTTTTCCATCAATATTATGTACCGTCAACTTTAAAAACAAAGTGATTTGCATTGTGTAAGCCTTAACCAGGATGAAAGATGTCAAGCTGTGTTATTCACAAAGGTGATGTGGGAGGTAAAGAGAGTATCTGAAGTGCAATACAAAAATCATTTTTGTGCAGAACTTTTGTTAGCAATGTTTGCCTTAGTAAATCTATACCAGTCAAAGGGAGAAAATTAGCCTACAGTGCCACGTGTTTTGACTACGATGTATCTCTGCAAGTCCAGTAGGTCTGTATTCATGCAAACTGTGTCGCTGTGTAAGGAAACCGTTCCCTTAATCATTTCTAATGTCTGGATTCTTAGTGCATCTCACACTTGGGGACCTGACATTTACTTCCTGTGGATTTTTACATTAGCCTTATACGTATTGGTGTAAGATAAACAAGAAAGGATCGACTTATCACAGTATACTAGTACAGCTCTTGAGAATTAAGAACTGTGAATGTCAGTAATCATAGATGCCTTTCTGATAGGTCGTTTCTATAGCATTGTATCCTGTATTAGATAATGATTCATATAGTAAGCTATTATGACAACATTGTTTGTCTGTTTTTACATTTTTATTGTAGTTTGTCCATTTTCAGGTTGTCTTTTCTGTTTTAAAAAACACTAATTTTACTGCTTTAACCAAAAATATCTGATGATATAATTGTTAATCATTAAGTATTTTGTAGCTTTTGTTCTACTGGGTGTGTTGCAGTATTATACACACCTAGTGCATGTCTAAAATACATCTGAAGTATTTTTATGAAGCTCATCGACTATGTAAAATAAAGGGTACAAATATATATGCAGCCATGTTTGCCTTTTTCTTTCTCTGATGTTCCATGTCCTATATCTGTGGTTTGGGGTATTTTCTGTTTTATTTCAGTAAGAAAGATCTGGAATTTTTTGTAAGGTGTTTTTTTTTTGCAATTAAAGTAAAATTCAGAAAGAAATGAACCTTTATATCCCAGTAAGTATTCCCTTGAAGAATATTCTTATAATGAATATTAATTATGATAAGGAAGTGCATTGCTGCCATCAAAAAAAAACTTTAATATGGTATCTTTTATTATGAATAAAAATTCTCATAATTACGAGGTAGTACATTATCTCATAATTACAAGATCCCAACATTCATGTGAGTGTATGAACAACCTAGCTTAAATTTTGCAGTCACAGCACCTGGAAACTACCAATAGCACAGCTATATTAGTGCAAAACAATTCTAAAACAATATCGTTAAAACAAGTTTATTCGATTTTTAACTTCTAATTTATGCATTCTTAAGAATAATCTCTGTCAAATGCATTTAAAAACATCAATTTTTGGCAAACATTTTCCTTTTTAGTAGCTTTCACTTTCTTGGCAGTTCAGTACTGCTTTACTTCCATGGGAATTGACATACTGGGCCCTGAATCAAAGTAAATTAAGTTTTGTCCTGTTGCATCTAACACACAATCACATCAAGAAAGGTAACACATCTTACCCAGTAACCACTACACAAGCATTGGAGAACATGGCACAAGCATTGCTGGGCTAAGTGACAAACCGCTTCCCTAGCTCTGCTGTATGAGGTAAAAAACAAAAATGGACAATAAGGAGTATAGGACAATAACGAAGGAAGCACAAACAAACCTATCGAAGAGCTTCAGTGCTAACTGGTATGTCATGTGCTTTAAAAGTTCCTAATTACCAAATTCTATATATGTGCAGGTGTCATTAAGTCCATTTTATCTCCCAAAGTACTAAATTAAATTATTCATTTTTAACTCTTGCTTTCATTCAAGGACCTCCTAAATCTTCAGCCACTATGGCCATTTCCACTTCCACCACACTTCCCAGAGGCTTACCCAACCCCTCTCCCTGGCTGAGCCCTCTGATTAGATAGTGGGTTTGAAACTGTGAAACACGAACTGGGAGCAGAAGTGGAAACTGTGGAAGTACATTTCAGATCGTAAAACAGAGTACTTCTTTACTCAAAGGGTTGTGGGAGTATGGAACAAGCTACCCAGCCGAATATAACACCTTTACTTCTTTTGAGAAACAGATGGATGAGAGCCTTGGATCAAGCTACCACATGAGTTGCATAGACTCCTCTCGTTTTTGTAACCCTTCTTATGTTCTTATGTAATGAACTAGGGTTTAATGGTTGGTTAAGACCATTAATGAAAAGCTAACTCAAGAGCTCTAGCTTTAGACTGCCATATAATAGGCTTTAACTGAATTTGAACCTGTTCCATCATCTCAAAGTGAACACATTTCACAGATTGATGGGTGTATTAATAGGGAAATGATGCAAAATATACCCCTCGTTTTAAAGAGACATGGAGCTGCAAGAGAATCATAATCTTCTGAATTATGTAAATCACTATTACATAAACATCATACATAAATTTGATTAAAACGCTAAAAAAGGGACTTTCTGTGATGGGTACAATTATACAGTATAGCCCTTATTTAGTTCGTAAACTGAAGAAAAGTGCATAATTTGATGGGTACAGATTAATTTCTTGTGTTTATGTACCACATGAAAGGTGGTATATTTGCTTGGGAAGACTACGATGGAAAAAGTGATGTTCGTCACTAGGCATTTGGACATTAGACTGTATTTAGATATGTACACCATTAGAGGGCAATGTTACACAGAACATTTGTTATACATTTTTCCCCACATACTGTATATTTCATTAAACAATATCTGAATATAATTTCCATTCCGTTTTAAATTTACAGAATTAATTTGTTTTTCTAGAAAAATAGAACATATGCACATGTACACATTTATACGGTGCAAGTGATGCAAGTAAGTACAGTAAAGTGCTTTAATTTGCAAAACTATTTGTATAAATCTATATTACAAAAATAAATTATTGGAAAGAAAAAATACAAAGCTAAAAAAGTCATATTTTAAACAACAAATTCTTAAATGAAGACAACAATACGAATCAAAATCCCACAAATCTGTTCTATTTGATCTTAAGGCATTTTTAAATTAAACAGCATTTGACATTAAATAGTATTAGAGATGGAAACATTTTTGATTAAGTAGCTCTTGTTTCATTGAAAGTAATATATGGCTGGATGCTGGTGTCACTGGCTGTTCTTTTGCTAAGCTGTTTTTCAGTGTGTTTGACATCTGACTCTAAATAAGCGCACTCATGGTTTTCTGTATTCGTGCACTCTTTATTGTTAAAAATGGCCTTTATTTGGGCTGCATGAAAATAATCACTTTTAAGAGGTGTTTGTGATAAAACATCTTTAAGGCATAGATCTTCACCTTCAAGCTTATTTATGGAGGGAGGATCAACAGCATATAGGATAAGAACTGTGTTTTCCACGTGTTCACTTATTGGTGGATTCTTAAATTCTTCTGGCATGCTCCAGTTCACAACCTTTAAGTCGCCAATCAAGAAATCTTCATCGGGTTTCAGGATGTCCCTGTTTTGTTGTTTCTGGAAATAGGGAATATTTCGTATTTAGTATTTACATAAATAAGTGCTTTGTGTTATGCTTCCAAATTGTAAGCTTATTTTGTTCGAAAACACCGTTAAGCACTTAAATATATGTAACCATTATGTATGGTTCAATTTAAAAATGAAGTGATCGTCTTTGACCATGAGATGGCGTGCATCTCCACAAATATGATTTTTTTTGTTCCTTTTTTTTCCTGAGGGCACTGGAAATAAAAATTAGGTTTGGGGAATTTTGTTATTTGATAATAACATTAGTCAGTTGAAGTTTCAGCTTTCGGGTTAATTTTTGTAAAACATTTTTTAAATCTTTAATTTTTAAAACTTTCCATGTCTGCATTTGTCTTCCTGTGGTATTAAGTTTAATGGAGAATGACTATAGAAACAAGGGAAGGTTCATAAATGCTTGTTTGTATTTTGTAAAATGTAGAAAACAAAAGGAATGCTGAAGAGAACCAATGTTTTACCTCACAGGTGTAATTCAAAAGCCATTTTCCAAGGGTGCTGCTGGAAGGGTTTGGGATTTTGAAGAAAGTTTTCTTTATAAAGCTGTATATAAAAAAGCAATTATTATCAATTTCAACAGATGTTCATCATCTCCAATGTTTTGGTTCTAGTAATGTCCTGTTGTTTATAAATTATAACTTCTCTATATAATATAAATAGTTGGTTGTAAAATAAATTTACAACCAACTGCCAACACTGCTTAAGTGTACTGACATTTCAACAGGAAACAACCATCACACTTAAGGAAATTAAAAGTGTGAATGAGCCTGGTACTTTACAGAGAAATTTAAATATATATATATATTTTGGTGTTTATTTGTTCTAGTATAGAGACAATAAAAATGAGACATCATGTAATAGGGAAGGAGAAGACGATTTAGTCCATATTATTTCTTAATGACAGGTTTTACCAAACATCAAAGCACAGAAATTCCATGCAATGTCTTTTTGGGGGAGGTTGTGGGAATGTATGTTGCACCTCTTTAATAGCTGCAGAGGGTAGTGACATTAATCTGCAAGATGACACAGCTGATTACTGTGGAGAGCAATCAAGACTTTGGGATGGTGAGACTTGGAATGTCATGGCAGCTGGTTACAAGTCATCTTCTTGTCCCACCAGAAACCACATCTTGTCCATCAGATCGTGTCAGGACAACCGATTCTTTTAACTGACACCCCTCGTTCTGCTACTCCCAGCTGTTATCACAGATGGTAAGCCAGGGCTTTAATCTTCGAAACCAGCACAACTAGTTCCAGCTGGAGTTATAACAAATGCAGTCATCATAAGTCAGAGCAGGCATTGATAAAGGATGAGTAGGTGACATTTGATCAATTCAGGGTTTTTCAGAGCTTTGTTGATGGCCATTTCTTTGTGTTTGGACGACAGGGAGAGTATTAGGCACAAGAGGTTCACCCACTTAATGCACCAGTGAAGTGCTGGAACCAGCTGAACAACATGTGGCAACCATTAAGCAACGGTGGATCCACAACACAACAGAGCGGGCAGAGAAGTGAGATACTGCATCACCATCACTTCAGGAAGGCCAGACTATAGAAGCATACAGTGGAGGTCTTACTCTTTCAAAAAGTGTCAAGGGGTCAGTAATAACCAAGTAGTCAGCACCTGAGTTTACTGTTTCATCCAGAGGATGACACCACTTACAGCAAAATCACCTTGGTGACCTTACTGGGGAAATGGTTGTTAATTCTGGTCCAGCAGGAATACTTTCTGGTCCACAAACAAGACTTGCAGTTGCAAAGATCAGGCGACAAACTGTTAAAGCTTCTGCCTGATGACAACACTGCTGGTCACACAAGCATTCAGCCAATATCAACTCAATGGAAAACTTCTTGAGAATTACTTATGAATGCTTTCACTCACACAAATTCCACTTTCATTGCCTGTCAGTAGCTTTTGTAAAATATAGAAATGGTGTAAAAGATAATACTGAAATCACTATAGAGCACTGCAGATTTCTAACAAAAACATTGTTCTAGTTACTTACCATGCTTTGATAAAGACGAAGATGATCCCCATAAAGAAAAGAAGAATTATTACTGAAACAGTTGTATTTACTGCATCTTTTGTTGCTGAAAATATAATATGAATACATTAAGAAGCTTTTAATGCAAAATTAGACCTATATACATATCCACAATACATATTACAAAATATGACTTTTCATATACATCCATCCAATCATCCATTCACTTTTCAATTTTTTTTCCTAAGCTTCATCTAATACAGTGTGGCATGTGAGCCGGAGCCTATCATTAGACATGAGTAATTTACTGTAGTAGTTCAGGTGGGTAGCATGTGTAGGCTGCAAAGAAACAAGTCATATGGAATAAAACAATTACTTGTTCATTAGTAAGTTACTGTACAATTAACATTTTTTTCCAGGAAGCAGAGTCAAGCAAGAGCACTGAGGAGTTTTTGAACTATAAATGATTTATTAAATTGTGGTCCTCAGACTCCAGGCACTCTGCAATGCTACAGAAGTCAGAGGTACCAAGTCACTTAGTCGTGTCTTCGAAAAACTAGGCTCACAAATGTTTCTTCCTAATAGGTTTGTTGTTGTTACTATGTGCACTTCTAGACCAGGATAAAGATTCCAGCTACTAACAACAACAGTTAACAAAATCCTAACTCCACCTTTGGAGCCTGAACTCACTTACAAACTCAAAATTGTATTTGTTCTCTAGTCTTCTAGCAACAAAGGCTTTAGTGGATCAGGTCTTCCAATCAAAAGACAACAAATCTGTGCAACACCATTCTATAACCTGAGAGGCAGCTAATAACCAAAAGCTGAGTGGCATCACACAGGAGGCCAGCTAATTAGTGTTCCCTTTGTCTACCTGAAAATGTAGTGCCCTCATTGGAACAGTTAGAAGAAACTACTAACTTTAGATCAGGGTTTATAATGGGAAGAGGCTTCACATTCGGTCACATCTTGTATTTAAAAAAATTTAACCATATCTTAAGAATGAAACATTCCAGTACTTACAGAAAAGTGGAGTTTTGAAAGTATGCTTATTGCTTGTAGAATTTCCTCCATTTGTAAATGCCACCACCCAGATCGTGTACTTAGTGTTTGGTGTCAGATTCGTAAATTTGTACTCCAGTTCCCGTGAGTTAACTGTTTGAGCTGTTTGAAATGAAACATTCACACATTTAATCAACTATCTATGGACCACTTAGACATGCACCTTGACACACTGTGATTACCCTTCACGCATACTGAAGAAGCTCATATTTAGGTTCAGCATCAGTCATGTTTGTTTGTTTGGTCTTAAGAAACTTACTGATCCAAGGATCTTATCCTGCCATTTCTGATGGATTCCAAGGAATTTGTCTTTATAAAAGTTAGTGGGTATTTTATATCAATAAAAAGCCTCTGTTTTGTTCTTTTAATTTCAAAGTTCTTGTTTATTAATCCTCCTATTACTAAGCAATAAATATTTCAAATTACATATTCAGTTACTGCTGAGGTACAAAGGTAAAGGTTAAAGGCACCCAGCTGCAATTTACTTAAGAGTCTCTTCTTTTCAGTACATTCTTACTTTGTGTCTCTTCTGCACTCTGCAGGATAACAAGGTAGTTTTTGATGAAACCATTTCTTTCTTCTTTGTTTATCTCTTTCCATTTAACAATCGCCGAGTTTTTTGTCAGCCCTCCTAATGTCACATTAGGGCCAATCCTAGGAGCTAGAATTAGAAATTGATCAAATAAATGAATGCAACACGGACAATTTACATTTTCAGAGCATTTGTTTAACTTCAGTGTAGAAATAAATTAGTGTCAAAGAAAGGTTTCTATGTCAAACACAAGATTCAACAATAAGTTGCATTACATAACTCATAAAACAGTGAGTAAACTAAAAGATGAGAAACTGACCGCTGTGTAAGTTAGAAAACATTTCTAAGCATTTCCTGCTGCCCAAGAACAGTTTAAGACATCACTATCTGCGGAGTTAGGCAGTGGTCTGGTACAAATGCCTCCCACAAACAAAAGGAACAAAAAATGATCTTCAAGCTAGATACTGAAGAACCATTGCGAATGTATATTTCATTGCGACACCACAGTGCATCAAGAACAGACATTTCTATACAGCTGCTAGTTTACTGCTTTGTTTTCATGTCTTTCAGTTCTTACACAGTTCTGCCCAAACCAACCTGAAAGTATTTTTTAATAGAACAACAAAAATGTTCTTTTCTTTTTCACACTTAGATCCTGTAGATAGCACTTCAAACTTTTTCAACTGCTTAAATGTTTCTTCCTCCTTACCTCCTTCTTTAAGGTACGCTTGTTCTGATGTTGGAGCCCCAGGAACTCCCTCATAAATAGGGTATACAGAAATGTTATAACATTTCAGGGGCTCCAATTCACCTGTGAAAGAAATTGAATGGATGTAATTTTTTGTTTCATGATGGCCAAATGTTATCACTGACCCTTAAGAATCTTGCCAGTAAAGTATGACTGAAACATATGGTCTGGAAAAAAAAATTGAGCACGAAACAAGATGGGCCAAATGAAATGACCTTTTACTCAGGTTATCTGCTGTCACTCCCTATCTTTTGGATGAGTACAAACATTTACACTTGAACTAAAGATTTCTAAAGAAAGCTGTGACCTCAGCTCTTGCTTTAGATCAGCACGATGCCCTGCTGAGAAATCTAAGTCATGCTGCACAAAACAACCTACTGTATATCTCACCCTTTAAGGAAATCTTGAGAACTGTGTTATTAATCCGCTGCCAGTGTATTTGGAAAGGGTGTGTATCCAAACACCACTGAATCACGTATTCAGTTACTGGCATTTTGGGAGTTTCCCATTCAACACACAGCTCATTGCCCTCAGGTGTGATTGTGACTCCTCTAACTGCTGGGAGGTCTAAAATAAAAAAATACAAATAAGTGTAATTTTGTGGGAAATAACATTAATACAACAAATCCCTCTTTAATTGAAATATTTAAAGTCAGTACACAATCAAACGATGCACATCCATATATTTTTAATTAAAAAACTCAACAGACCTAAACTTCCAGGTATATTACTATCAGTCCTCCACACTCCCAGAAGCACATCTGTTAAAACCAGTAATGTTTTTTACAGATGTGCATATGAATCAAAACCATGAAGTAATGGTAGGCTGTGATGAGTCATGATAGCTCTCCCTTTAAATTCAATCCCAAGTGCTTTATTTGGCTTTATTATCTCTTTTATTAAGAAAATATACATTAAATTCAAAGTACAAAATAATTTGCAAAATCATATTTACCAACAACCATACCTTCTTGACCAACAGCAGGGATTCTAAGGCTGCTTTTGGGTGAATTACCAACTAAATTGTAAGCCAGAACTGTCACCTCATATTCTTCATCCGATAGAAACAAGGTTTCATTTAGGTTGGTTGAGTTAATCATTTTTTTCAAAGCTTGCTTGTTTGTTGGCATGTAGTATACTCGATATCCAAGTATAATTCCATTCGCATCACTAACATCTAGAGGCTGTAAACAAAAAATACCAAAATCAAAGACTACATTCCAACAATATAAGAAAAGGTATCAAATGAGTGCCATTTAGCTTGGTTGGTTTTTAGCAGCTAACTGGTCCAAATATCCCATTCAGATATTTCCTGATTACAGTATCAACTTGTTTGTTAAAGACCAAAGAGATGAATCTCTTTCAACCTGTCAGTGTAGAATTTCTTGAGGCCCATGAATGTATCTGGTCGATTTTCTTTGAAATGATTGAAGCAGAGCAATTATGCTTTTTAACGTAAAAACCAAAATTGCATACAATATTATATATATATAATAAAAAGCTCTTACAAATAAATTGAACAATTCTAATACAATTCACCTTGATTACTTTTTTAAAATAATAACTAATACCTAATAACTAATAACTAATACCTTAACACAGATCAGTGTTTGTGTGTTCTCCTGTTTGCACCACACATTTTCTTAACTTTAGGAATTATATAAGAAAGTACTGTAGTGATTACCTTCCACATGAGGAGCACCTTTCTTTGCTTCTGTGAGTTTGGTGCCTGAGTTGTTTGCCAGATGTTCAGAGCTTTATATGGTGCTAGTAGAAAGAAATTAAGCTTAAAAAGTTAGCAGTCCAGCTCCAATCACACTTAAGTTAAAAGTTCTACAGTATCTTCTTCCATTATTATTTAAAATATGTAAGGGACAAATTTAATAAATCAACATTGCTCTATGTTGTATAAGTAATGCAACCAACTTTTAATCAGATGTGTCAATTACATTATGACTAATAATTCTATATCATGTCAACATTTATCTCAGAATAGAACAAACAACAACAGCCATTTTCTACAAATGCAGCAAAATAGCTAGAGTATGAAAGAGAGTTTTAAGACAGGATTTGAAAGTGCTGACTTGTAAGACCTATTGTGGGCTGGGAGTTCCCTACACTCCCTTGGAGCAACAGAACATAAAAACTCAGAGCTCAGGCTCTCCTGTGCAGAGTCTCATACTATGAGGTGATAGAACAACAGAGTACAAAGGATACAAACCAAGTAAGTACACAGGGAATGATCAGTTCACTGATGCCCATGGTATTCAAGACCTTAAAGGTGAGCAGCAGTATTTTGAACCACATTCTGAAATCTGCAGGCAGCCAGTGTATGGAAGCCATAAAGGTGGTATATGCTCATGCATTTTAGTTTTAATCGAGAATTTTGCAACTTGTTAGAAATATGTTTGGAATAACCATCAAGCACTAAAATGTAATAATCAAGTTGGAAAACACACATCAGCGTTAGATTTTATGCATCAGATAGTGAAAGATGGGAATGGATACAAGACAAAAAAAGGCAACTTCACAACTTTCAAAAGCATGGTTCCTAACCTGAGTACCAGGACCATCAGTCAAACTGAGGATGACATTTGCAGTGTTTATAAAGAGAGCCAATTACCATAACGTTAGTAAAATATTGTATTGCATTTATTTTAGCATCTTCTAAGCAGTGTGACAAAGCAGAGAGTGGTAGATTAACATTAGGCTTATGCGAGAACAAAAGTGTCATCAGCAAAGAAGTTCATCTTAAGCTAATGGACAAATATAGACGCTAAAAATGTCACCAAGAACACAGCCCTTTGGGACTCCATATGTGACGACATTTGTAGAGAAGGAACAATGCACAATTTAAACGAAGGCAACGGAACATTTTTTTTAGCAGTTAGCCATTATTTAAACCACAACAAACGTCATACAAGAATGCTAACAACCTATTGAAGTGGGACACATATCAGCACATATTCAAGGTTATAGTGTTAGCATCCCATAAGCATTGAATAATTACTGGAATATGTTAACTATACAGCTCTGTATTGGTCACCAAACAGCTTCAAGGTCTACTGAAGTACAATAAGAACTCACTTGTAGAACAATAGTAAATGTTCAACAGTAAAAAAACACTGATGAATTTCAAAGAACAGGACACAAACCAAACTGTGCTACATGAGACTATGCTGTATAAAAAGGTTTTTTAAAAATGTTGTCAGTCTGTCTGTTCTGAGGGGCAAACCCAACTCTGCGTTATATTGTGCTCAATGAGCACTGGGCGCCGTATAAATGGCTGACCCTGCGCTCTGACCCCAAGCTTCTCTCCCTGTCTGTGTCTCATGGAGAGCAAGTTGGGGTATGTGAAAAGACAAATTCCTAATGCAAGAAATTGTATATGGCTAATAAAGTTATCTAAATCTCTAAATCTCCTGCTCCCCTGTTGAAAAAATTTCCCACATCACTATTATACTCAGCAATACAATGTTGTCTACATTGTCAAAGGCAGCACTGAGCTCTAGCAGGATAAGAATGGGGAAAAACAACAGAGTCAGCAACCATCAGCACATATTTAGTCATATAACAAGATAACAGGAGATTTGTCTGTAGTCTGTGCAGAGGCGTACTTACCATCTTCAAGTGTCTGCCCCAGTCTCTCAGCACTCCAGTCGCTCCAGTGCTCAGAGGCAGCACAGGAAATGGAAACACTGTAGTTCCTGAATGGCTGCAGATCTTTTATTTCATACATGGAGCTTGCACTGCCCCTGCCCATCATTACATTCTCTGAAACCTGTTATTTATGTGGAAAAAGGAGAAATGTCTTCAGAAATCTCTGCACTGTAAATTTAACCTTATCCTTTAAGGATATGTTATTAACCAGCTGCCAGTTAAGCTGACTTTCATGAAACAGAAGCAAAGAAAAAGGAGAGCTAGGTGTACAAGGTAAAGGTAGAAAGGATCCATAACAATCTGAAATATTTCATTTTAAGGAATTTTCATCTAGAACTTGTGACTGGAAAATATGTGTGGGGAGTGTGATTAAATGGAGAGAGAAGAGGATATTTTTACAACTTTTCATTATACCAAATAAAATACCAGGATATGTCAGGTAACTGTTTTTCACCTGTGGAAGAAAACAATCGAAAGGGCAGTCCCTTCATGCTGCACACTGGATATGTGGAGGGAGAGGCATGGTTAGCTCTCCCAATGGTGATGTCTAGCCAGCACCTGGGGTGCGCTCTTGGAAGGAGCTTAATTACTAATAGTTCCTGCACCCCACGCCATCTAAACTGCAGGAAAATGCTGTAACTTCCAAGCCGGTGGGGTTTTAACTGGGAGAGCTTACCGTGCTTCTCCCTATCTGGTCTTCCCTTTGCAATAAGTCTGTAATAACCCAAACCACTAGTCCTAAATGAGAGATCTAGCCTGGCGAGACCCTTCTAAATGTGACACCCTTTGCCTGATGTTTTTTCCCTGTTCAAAGAAACAGGTCACTGTATTTGACCTGCGTGCAAATGCCTTCATCCATTTCCCTTTAAATCAGTAAAATCTCAACCTTACAGGCATTCTTCAGACACCTAAAATGTCAAAGATCACTTAGAATGACAGTTGCTCCATTACACAGCACAAACTGTCTTCTATAACAAGGGTAGAATACTAACACATGTCACAGGGAGGGCAGGAGGGGTGCCAAGTGAGTCCTTTTAAAACTAAATGATGACTCAGCCACAATTGCACTTAGGTGCAAAGATGATGGTATATTATGACAATGCTCCCCACAGACTATTTATATAAAGCAAAACCAAAAAACAAAAAACAAAGTTGAACTAGTACACACACAAAAAAAAAAACCTTTCTCTAAGAAAGAGGTCAGGAGTTCTAGCACACGGTTCTATCAGCTCCACACTGTAGCGATAGCGAGACTAAAAACCCTGTTAGATCTCTCCCCCCTTCCTAAATAATGTAGGTACCATATAGCCCTGCCCCCTTGGACTGCACCACTGTTACAAAATTATGGAGCTGCATTTCACCCCAGATAAACTAATTTCCCTAACATGGGAATTCCTTCTTTCTTTTAAAGAATAGTGTAAACAGAATGTACAAAAAGAAACACCAACCCTGAATATATTTCACTTATTTTTTACCTCCAGTAAAAATGGTACTTCCTTTACCAGAAGATGTGCGCATGCACCACTCCACGTTGACATTATAAAGCCAAGCTGAAAACGGGTATCGAGTGTCTTGTAATGTACTGTCTGCAGACGGTGACAGAGATCCCTCTGTCACAACAGCTATATTAACTCCAAAATGCAACATGTGCCTGTCAGAGCCTAAAGGACACCATGATGTCTAAGATGACTTAACTCCCGAGACACCTCAGTGCTCTTTCTGCTCTTCTGTTAAGGTCACTGTGTGAAAGAGGTAGGCAGCAAAGACTCACTTCATCACATCAGAGTATGGTGGCAGACAGAGAAGTATAAATTCCACTGAGCAAGGAAAGGCAGAAAGCAGAATGGAGAATCCAGCAACAAGAGTATCCTCAACCCCTAATGAGAAGAAATTAAGAGAGAGTTGTGCTTCTCAGTGAGTGAAGTCTAGCTCACTGAGCACAGAGAGAAGGTTCAATGCACACAGATTCCAAAAAAGTCACACGAACAACAACTGGACATCTGTGTCCAGACTGACCAAGGTGAGCTCTACATTGTTAATTGATGGCTTTAATTGAGCTGCTCGTTTGTTTGGACGTTTGGTTCACTTGTTTCTGCGCTCAGGTCTGAATTTGGAAAAATATCCTATTTGGAGTTTACCACGATTTCAGCATAACACTTTAAGCAGCCTCTCCTCAACTTGTTTCACCCGATTTCTGACTTACTGTAGCTGCTCTCAATAACTGACCAATTTGTGGTAAACAGACACGGTAGCATTTGTTGTGGAAAAACAAAGAAAGAAAGAACTCTGGTCCACAGGGGGCTCCAGGAGAGAACCAACCTCTGTCAGGCTCAGGAACAGGGACAGAAGAGGAGAACACCAAATGAGCCCGATCCTCAGCGAGAGCATCAGTGGGCTGGTGTTACCAGCCACAGTAGCTGTAGTCCTGTCGTCCCATAACAGAAGGGGAGCCATACCAAACTGGCTAGAGATCTCACTTTGCAAGCCTTACCTGCAAACGGGCAGGATGGGCAAATAAACCTCCTTGAGAAGACTTGATCAGAGAAAGGCATTGAAGCAATATAGCTGACAGACCTCTAACACATGAACTGAGAGCTCTATCTGCGGCCCACAAAAGGGGCGGACTTGCTACATCATATACAGCTCAGTGAGTCACATGGTTCCGCGGTCTGGGCCTTAAGATTATTACTGTGGCACAAAGCTGGCAGTGTATAAGACCCTCTTCCATGGACACCAATGCTGGATTCTAGCGGTGTTGGGACCTTCTCAGATAATTAGGAAGATTTAGGGCGCAAACTGCAGCAAACTACAGCAAACTACATTACACAAGAGCAGAAACAACAGGTGCTTCAGAGGGGACTCCAGATCCTTAGCTTTACTGTACAGTATATGTTGATCATTAGAGAGAGGAGTTAATTTGCCATACGTACATACACTACAGTATACATTGGGATTTTTATTTGCTCTGTTTTCTTGGGGTGTGCACAGTATAATAGAAAATACTAAAATAATAATAATAATAATAATTGCTTACACTTATATAGCACTTTTCTGGACACTCCACTCAAAGCGCTTTACAGGTAATGGGGACTCCCCTCCACCACCACCAATGTGCAGCATCCACCTGGATGATGCGACGGCAGCCATAGTGCACCAGAACGCTCACCACACATCAGCTATCAGTGGGGAGGAGAGCAGAGTAATGAAGCCAATTCATAGATGGGGATTATTAGGAGACCACGATTGGTAAGGGCCAATGGGAAATTTGGCCAGGACACCGGGGTTACACCCCTACTCTTTTCAAGAAACGCCCTGGGATTTTTAATGACCACAGAGAGTCAGGACCTCGGTTTTATGTCTCATCCGAAGGACAGTGCCTGTTTACAGTACAGTGTCCCCATCACTATACTGGGGCATTAGGACCCAAATGGACCGCAGGGTGAGCGCCCCCTGCTGGCCCCACTAACAATGCACAGAACATTAGAAAACTAAATATTAAATAATGACAGTTGCAGCTGACCATCATGCACAACATAGACAACATTCAATGGTAGTACAGAACAATTAACACACAGGACAACAGACAACCTACAAGACTGTAGGTCTTAGCCAAGTAAAAAGTGCAGAGTGCAGAAATGCATTGAATTCTGAGACATTATAAAGTTAGCTGCTAATACACATTGCCTTACAGATTATTCCTTATCTACAGTATTTCAAATATTTTAAAATACTTTAAAAAGTATAAAGAATAACAATATTTGATCCACATGACTCATTGCCATAGAAGTCCTCCACAGTAAAATTAAATGTGTGAAAAGCTCTTAAAAACACATTACTGTACCTGCATCCACTGGTCAGCACTATGTGCTTTATAACGGAGTCTACATCCAAGAATTTCAGAGCTTTCCGTATTCCACATCACATGTAATGAGTGTTTGGTTCCATTCACCCTTGTAATCTCTGGAGGACGTAATTTTACTTTAATGCAAAACAAAACATTTTGTTACTGTTAAAGGACAAGTCTTCAAGGTATTTAAATGTTACACTTTTGCTTTAAGCTCACATCCTGTTTTAATGCTAAATACAGCATTAAAAATGGTCCAAAATACACACTATTAAAATAAACTCATCAAAATATATTTTTTGCTGGTGCACTGAAATTTTACCCCAGATGCCACATACCATTCGAGCTCATCACACAACTGTTCAATAGGGCTTAACTCTAGTGAATAGGGAATTCGCAGCATAACTGTCATATTCCAGTCTTGCTAAAAAGCTTTCCAATTGTGAACCAGGCAGCTCACAAACAGGAACCAAAGTAACCAAATGATCTGAAGAACCTAGATCAATTCTGCCTGAAGGATTCGTTAAAACATTCTCCTCAGAAGTGCTATCTATAGTGCATCACTCACTATAGGAGGCTATCGCTCCTATAGAGGAAGATTTACTTTATACTAACTAAAGGATGTGAATAATATGGCCATCATAGCATCTGGATTAAAATGATGAGAAATGACATTGCTTTTGCAGTGCTTTTAACTTTTTAGCATGTCATTTTTTATCAGATATGTAAATACTTTTGGAATATAATGATTTTTTTCATTCCCATTCCATCATGGGTATGCATAAACCTAGAGGCACTGTATGTTCAAAGCAGAAGGCAGTGATGAGGACATTCCAATAAATAATGATTGCATTTCTTTTCATGAAACAAGGTTAGGATAATAACCTAGCATTTCCTTTGGTAATGTCAAATATTTGGCATTTTACGAGTATGTTCGGGAGATGGTACGGTGTCTGTGTAACTAGTTTGTCCAAATAATATTCACAACCTGTAATATTCAAAACATATGGTTATATATTTACAGTTTTATATCAATTAAAACTCAACAAAATATATCTTCAGTACTATTACAAATATATATCTTAAAGCTAGTTTTAAATGAAATGTAAAGGCTTCATTCTAAATTTATATTCACAAAACTGTTACACTAAAGAAAAAAAATAACTTAACACCCATATACAGTACAACATGAACCGCAATTTTTGTGAAACTGAACTGACTTATAATTCAATAATTATAATAAATTATGAATTTACCATCACATGAAATAAAATAAAAACTTGGAGGATATCAGTGAACAGTTTTTAAAAATGCTACTGACTTGAAGCCAAAAAGAAATACAATAAAAAGAAGATAATTGTGGATTATACCAAATAATGGATGTACTGTATGGGAATGTCACAACATTTTTCACCCAATACTTTTGAACTATTCCCAAGGGCAGCCAAAAGAAATCGTCCTTTCAAACTAAAATCAACTATTTAGGACATTCTGGAATTAGCGCAGAGAAACTAAAAAATTTAAATATTTACATTGATCCATAAGAACTGTTTGAATACGTATTAAATAAATTAATGTAGATTAAATACACTTCCTTTACCTGCATGACTCTGAAGTTGATAGACGTTCGAAGTTGACTCACTACGGGATATGATGTTCCTTGCTATAACGGAGACCTCTAAATTGTAAAATGTGTTGAAGGTGCAATAAGTGCAATGCCTTGAATTCCTAATAAAGAAAACAAAAGAAGAGAGACTAGGCCATCATATTTACATTAAACATGTTCAGAAACATAATACCAAAATATCACGGGAAAAATCAATTGCCAAAATAAACTAACATCTACAATATGTCTGTCATTTATGTCTGTATTTTTTTATTTAACGTCAGATTTTAATTACAAACTCAATATTATTATCCATATCCATTTCTAAGAATATATTTTTTTTTACTTCATTGTGATTTATGGTATAGTTACAGGCTGAGGAAGGTGACAATGGGAGTATCTAAGAATACAGACAAAGTGTCTGACACCTGGCAGTGTCAACATTTTCAGCTACAAAGCAGAGGGGATGTCTGCTGAGATGCAGGGGGTCCAGAGTTTACCAATCATAAAGGTTACCTGGGTCTCTTTTATTTACGTTCTGGGTAAATGATTAAGTGTCAATCAACAGTACAGAAACACTCCATATAAGATCAGATCGGGAGTAAGAAAGAAGAGAGAAAAAATAAAAAAGAACGTCAGACGACAAGAGAGTACAAGAGCAGATAGAACTTGAGCTTGAAGCTTGCTTGCTGTCAAGCGAGAGTCCCTACTTATGACCGCTTGAAAAACCCCAATTGGAGCCAAGTATTTCAATCTTGCTTAAGAGAGCTTGCTATACGGTAGCTTTTATAGAACCTGGAGTTCCTGAGTGAAGAATCCCTCCATTTAAAATGGCATCTCCTCCTTAGTGGGTGCATTTTAGAATAGGGAGATAATCTGCCATATATTTAGAAAAAAATCTCTTCTTTGGCCTCTGTAGGCATTATTTAAGAGTCAAATACTTGGTAGCAGCCTGGGGTTTTCTGGGTGGACTAGACATACACCGTAGGACTCTGAAAAACCTTCTCTGTAAATTTGTAGATACAGTAACTTGTGTGTTGTATGTTTATGTTGTGTGTAGTGTGTGTCACTGTCAATGTTTTATAAATATTTGTTTAACCAAGACTGCCTGAATTAGGCCTCTTTTCACTTAAGATGTGCCAGAGAACAAGAAAGTCATGTACCTCTAACTGTACCAACTAAATCCTTACAAGTTTGGGGTTAAAATCATTTAATTTAATACTAAGTAGAGGAGTCTAAACGTCTGCAGGTTAAATAATACATATTAAAGTGCAAATAAACCACAGGATAGAGCAAGGGTAATCACAGTGAATAAAGTTTAGAATTACTAAACATTAAGCTTTAACATGAAACATTTTTAAACAAGTGTTAGTGTTGACTTTGGTTTGAAAATAAAATCCAGGTCTTAAAATCATTTTACCAACAAATATTCTGTAATTGGTATTTATAGATTATGCTTTAAAATTATTTTTTACTTCACTCTCAGTTGAAAACTCTGTAGCACTGACTTTTATCTAACATTGAATTGTTTCTTTGAACATTCATAGTGAAAATCACTCTTTATACTCTTTTGACACCCCCAACCTTATGGAAACAGCATAAATGAAGGGTTTTTTTTCTGTTTGGAGGGAAAAGCTTTGCTGATAATAAAATCCGATATTTGCTGCAAATCATCAGATGCACACAGTGCTTCAGTGAAGAAACTAAATAAATGGAAATCAAGAACAACAACAAAAATGCCATATGTACAAATCCAGCAACTACTGTACAGTACATGTAGTTTTCTTCTTCATTCTAGATTCTACAGAGTCAAGACCAAAGAAATTAAGAAACACCATTAACACAGAAGTGTGGGACGAGCAGTGACGCAGACACCTGGTTAGATTAGGCTAACAAGCCCTTAAAAGAGATAAAGTAAAGGAAGGCATCTAGATCTCTATCATTGTCTGTGTTGCCAAATAAGTTAGTTTTGATAGTGAAGTTACGTTATAGTTACAATCTCTTTACCATTTCCTACATAAGATATGAAAACTCTTGAGGCGAAAAAGAAGCAAGACCCACAACAATAACAATTTAAATTAAAAGGCTGAATGGCCTCCTCTTTCTCACAAATGTTCTTATTTTCATGGATGTTACTCTCCTTATCCTTCGTTAGGCATAAAGTAATTGGGTTCAGTTCCACAGTTCCAATGGAAAGATAAATGCAACATGCATGAGAGACAAAAATAAAGTTCGCTCTATGAAGCACGCACCAGTTTGTATTCTAATTTTGTCAGATTTCAGACACAAAGCTAGGCTGGGCTTTGCCAGTACTGGGATGGAAGACCTCTAAGAAAAAAACAGGTTACTGCTGTACTATATGTGGTTTGGAGGTACAGTAGGTGGCGCTCTTCTCTCTGGTCCATCTGTGCATCCATTCATTTTCAAACCGCTTTATCCAGTAACAGGTCGCAGTGGGGTTGGAGCCTATTCCAGCATGCAATGGGTGAAAGCCAGGATACACCCTGGACAAGATGCCAGTCCATCGCAGGACGGACACACAGACACAAACACACACACACTCACACCAGGGCCAAAGTCTTTGAACTATGGGAGGGAACTGAAGCACCCAGAGGAAACCCACATGAACACAAGGAGAAAGTAAAAACTTTGCAGCCCCAAAGCTGCAAGGCAGCAATGCTAACCATCTAGTTCCAGAATTTTCAGAACCAGTTTGGTGACGCTGTACTCTAAGAGGTCCTTTTGATAACATGTTATCAATTGTGGTGCTGACATAACAGGCATGTATATGCAGAATATAGTAGATTTCTGTTCTATGTTTGCTTTTACATTATTACTTCTGTTGCCTAGCAAGTAAAACAAAGCAAGAAAAACATAAAGAAATATACTTACAACTTGATAATCAAGGAGTAACTGGTGTTTCCTGGGTTAATGCCCTTGCGATCCAAACTGCAGCCGACGGAGATTGGGGAGAGCAGGTAAAAGCAGGAAAGAATTTTTACTTTATCAGGACTTTCTACAAAAAAAAGATTAAATACATTTTAAAAAGCAGTACTATATCATCGTGTTGGTACAAACATTTTTAAACTAGTCTAGATCACTTTGATTACAATTTTTTTGCTCTTCATGCCAAAAGATTTGACCAATATTATTGTTTTCCTTTGTGTCCTTAAATGCTATATTCTTAAGTCTGACAAACCCTTAAGGCTAGCTATGTTGCGAAAAAAAGAATGTAATGTACTGAATTAGGTGTTCATTATTATATTTTTTTTTCATGATGTCGGCTTGGGTTTAAAATAAAGACTGAAACAACATTTATTGCCCATACTAGTTATGCGTTATTAACTGGCATTGTTGTTAAAAAAACTGTAAAGTAAAAGAAAAAAAATGGAATTCTGAATTTATTTAAGCGAGTAGGCGCCAATGATTTTGGGTATCCATGGTTTTATTGAAAACTAGAAAACCTTTAAGATAACCTTTTAGATACCTCAAGAACTCCAAGATGACTTAATCCTATGTAATTCCCGCTTTTATCTAACTTATCTGCTATTAAGCTTTTACCAAGTCTAAAACTGTTTCCTTTTATCTCCATGGGCATGCCTCCACTTGTAGCTGAATCTTCCAGAAGAATCTTCCTGGCCTTCAGTCTAGACTTGCACTGCACCTGACTTTCCTCGCATAACCCCGTTTCGGGGAATTTAACTGACGAACTGCCGAGAGTTTGAATTTAACACAGAAGTCAAACCTTTTGTCGTTCATGTTAGGTCTTGTTGGAAATTAAAATAGCTGAAGATAAGGGGTGTGATTTGGATTTAAATTATTGGCTCTTCCAGGGTTTGTGCCACAAGAGAACTAATTCCATAAATTAACCAGATTTAACCAGAAATCAGTTCATAGAGCCTGAAAAAATTGTAATGTAGGTCATGTACACAATTTCAGAAGTACTCCTTTAATTTAACATTAACTGAAGTTTGAACATGTTTCAGTTATTGATAGGCTAAGAAAAGACATGAAGTGAAATGATGGTCCTCAAAATCAGAATATTGCTAAAACAGTTTGATTTCCCTACCTGTTTTCATAGAGTCATCATGGGGACAATGGCTTAAGTCTTGAACACAATAACATTTATTACTGCACTGCATCAAATTTTCACGTGAAATTGTCACATCTGTGGATTGACCCTGGAGGAGGTTACTGCTTTTGTCTGTATAAGAAAGGCCACCTGTAAAAACATGCCAAAACATGATGATAAATGAATATCTTGAAAATAATTTCTTACTGAAAAAATTATCCCATCCTTTTCCGGCTTTCAGTACTGTTACATATTTAATTCTATTACATATTACAATTCTACAGGGTATGCAATGGTTTTTTCTGTTATGTGTGTGTGCTCATTTATAATGTGCTACTTTAAGAGTATAGGAGCATAAGAAAAATAGAAATGAGGGGAGCCTGTTCAGCTCATCTAGCTCACTTGATTGCTGTAGCTAAGTGATTCACAGACCTTATCCAGTCATTTCTTGAAGGAAGCCAATGAGGCTGTCCAATAACAAAGTACTTCATCTAATCCCACCATGTATCCCCATTTGACATGGGGTCATTTTTCAAATAAACCTATTCAATAAAATCTTTTCTTTTCATGTTGCCATGTAGCTCTACCTTAGATCTTAAAAAAAGAACATGAAGAGAATGACAGTAATATCATCACTCAGGAAACTTGTCATCACTGAACTTCGTTAACTGAACTATTGAACTTCAGGTTTATACCACATATAGTATGACAAATCAGGCACCTCTGATAAATGATTTAATATATTAAAGTCAATTTCATTTAACAATTCTGACAGGTTATCATTAATGTTGCCCAAGTTATGAACACTCTTCAGTGAACAAATGTTCTTAAGAAAATGACAATGTGTCTTCTTAACTCCAGCGTGGCAACCAATCTCTCAGATGTCTGTTCCATCCTGCAGCATGGAAAACTTCACTTAATACTTATTATACCCCTCCCTGTGAAACCATGTCTGAGAAAATATAATGATTTTAGGCCAATTGCTCTTACATTAGTTTTGATTAAATCACTGGAGAGCACTTTAGTTCCGAAACCAAGTCAGTTAAGAGTAAACCTGATTAATTTCAGTTTGGTTTGAAACAAGGGCACAGTACAAAGTACTTACTTTCACACACCTTATCTGGAAACAATTGGATAAAATCAAAACATATGCTAGGATATGTTTTGCTTGACTTTTGGTCAACAAAATCTGACTGCATATTCTATTGTAAAATGATCCATATCTAACATTTTGGTTTATTTCATTACTTACAAAAAGACTGCAGCAGGTTAAACTTACTAATATACATTCTTTTGATGTACTAAATAACTGTGGAGTGCCCCCATAAATGAGTGGGTTCAACACTGCTCTTCACTCTCTGCACGAAATGATTGTGTTGCCAGTGGTCCAAACCAATTCTTAATCAACTTTTCTAATGATTCCACCTTGCTTTTTCTGATGAATGATAATGATGACCCAGAATGTTAACAATGTAAATAGCCTGATGTGACCAGATTCTAAATGCTAGAAAAATTGAATCTAATCTGTGTTTGAAGGCACATGTTGACTTTATTTATTACAATATTGAATTGAATTTCTTCTATGGTTATGGGTTTTTGGTGCTTGTAATCAGATTCTGTCCATGTCTGTGAGTTCTGTGATACAGATTCTGTCCATGTCTGTGAAAATGTAATGTGGTATGGAATATCCATCTGATATAACTCTTTCTGTTAAAAGGTAAAATGTTCAGACTGTTGAGGATGTGCTCTATGATACTGATGCAGCCACTTCAGCAGAGATTTAAAACTGCTTACATTAAGAATATGTTGAGACTAGCTGCTAGTATCTCCTCTGATCTCTAAGGTATGTACAGTGTGAAGAACACCAACTTTTGACTTCAATCAGATGTTTTAGAGTCCCTCCATGTAACAGAATAAGTAATTCTTTTATCTCATACTTAATCATTACTTCATAACAAATGAGTCATGGTTTATGGAAAAGTGTTATCATGTGCAATAGTGAAGGGGAAATGTGTATTTATATGAGCTTGGTGTAATTGTGGAGGAAGTAAATGTATAGGGGGTATGTGAAGTTCTATAGAAATGGTGTGAAAAATATGTAGGGGTAAAAATCTGTTTTGCAATTTTGTTTATTAATGTAATGTTTACTTGTACTGTTTGTATGTTTCCTAAGTTTCTGTGTGTGTGAAACATAGCTGTTTTGAAGAAGTAAAATTTCTGAGAAATAATACAAAACCCTTTTATGGTATAATGTATAATGACAGAAAAATTGAAATAAAACAAATGTAAGGGGCAAGAGAGAGATAATGGATTTGCATGTTACACCTACCTTGAAATATCCATACAATTAGAAGGCAAATAAACCTCACACTGCAGGACACTTTCGTTTTGCTCACTGAAAAATACAAAATTACTTAGCTTTTATTTTGCTGCATTTTTTTATCTGGTACTTAAGGAAAAAAGAAAATAATTAGAAAACAATAAATGTTGCCAGTTTTCTTTTTGGGAGATGAGCAAAGACCAACTACGAGTATAGTGGTTCTATGAAAGGCAGGAAAGAAAACAGTGCAATATTGTTCTGACCTCCATGTCTGAGACATTTTCAACATTTTGAATAGTACTATACATCTACAAATCTTGTAAAGACTAGTAAAATAGACTACAATGCATGTTGAATTATTAAAAATCAACATACCATTAAAAAAGTTCCCATACTCCAACTCAGGACTACAGGAAATTATTTCACATCCACAATTTATTTTTATATAAAACATGCAGAGTTTGTATGTTGTTTCTGTCATTAAATAATCTTATGTATTCCACCTTTGTGTGCATTTACTGTAAAACTCTTCAAACCTGACTTAAAATAACAGCATAGAAAATAGCATGTTAAAATAAAGGGGTATTATAATATTGTGACATTTTCCACTAAACTGTCCATTTATTCACGAGTCATTACTAACAAGGAGAGACAGAACCCCCCTCTCCAGTTCATTAGCTTTCTCAGGACTGCCAGTGTAAACTGTAATATTTTTAAAAGAATAACATAAGTAGGTAACTTTCAGTTTGACCTCTGAAATTGATGAAAGGTTACAGAAACTGTAAAATCGAAATAAAAATGGCAGAATGTCTGAACAGTAGGTGTGAACTTAACCACAATGTTTTCTAAGGTTCTTGTAATCTCAGAATCTTACATCATCAGGCCTAAAGAAGAAACAGGATTAATTCTTGTGTACTGTAACTCTTGTGCAATCCCTGCTTTCCTATAAAAACCCCTTTGTTACTAGAAATGACTCAAAAATAAAAAAGACTAAAGAAAATACAGTTTTTTCTTTCTGTTGGATATTATATTTGAGTCTCAACTCGATCTTTTAGCTCACCTAGAATTGTATAATGATATTTATGGTACTGATACCAAATTAACGTTTTGATTTTTAATCTCTTTTTTTCTTAAATTAAAAAAGTGTTTAGTTTCTCCAACTCAAAGGTATTCTGCTGAATCTATTGGATTCTATTTCTATTGGAAACACAATGCAGATTTCTAAAATGTACAGTACCTTAAAGTTTGTGTCAACGTCATGCACAGTATTTTGTCACTATTGTCACAGAGGCTAATCCATGCGATATGCATTTGAATAAACAGAAAAGGCATTGCTTATATTATATTTTTGTCTACAGAAGTAAACAACCTCCTAGGGCAAATGAAATGTACTGGAACAGCAATCAATACGGAAGGGTAAAATCAGATTGTCAAATCTGTAAGATTAACATACCATCTAAAAGTATGTTTATGACAGCAATGTGTTATTCAGCAAAGAAAAAATACAGATACAACTATGTAGTCTCCTGCATCCTGCAGCAATATTGAAAATGACATGTTTAGCATGCTTTTTAGTGTTGGGGGGTGAAGAATTAGAACATTTAAATACTGGATGCTATGCTCAAACTGTTTTACAGTAAATTATCTTGCTTTATTTCACATAAGCTGTTCAATTAATAAGCAATGATCAAATCGTACATGACAGCTTTAAAATCAAACAAAACAAGCACATATAAATTGCCATTTGCTTTTTAAGAGGTGAGCAGACAGGTTTCTTGATTGTTTGAGTAGTGTAACTGTCAAAGGGCCCTGAAGATGTAAAAAGGAACTGGACTCTGAATCGAATGACTGGGTTTTAGTGAGCTCAGTTACTGCTACAAATAATTATTGTGTTTCTGTAAGCTGTTCTTGAGCATACTGAATGTGTGTGGGATTGGATGCATGGATGTAACAACTTAAAGTGCTATATGGGTGGTACTTGGTACTCTCTGGTCTGGAGGCTGAGGTCATGTGTTTAGTATAGCACCCCCATACTTAAGAAAGATCAAAATTGGACTGAAGAGATTCAGGTAACAGGAGCAAACCACTGAAAATGGGGGTTTGTCCAAAGACTGCTGGTGTTGCTCGTCTCTGTTGCTGCTGTTGGGGGAAGAGAGGTTTTCACTGTTGTGCATGGTTGGTGCCCCAGCAGAGCCAGCTTTCTGTCAGTTTTGGATGCTAAATAAACTCTGCAACTTTGCACTTGAACTGTTCATTTCTGTATTTGTCCTTCATCACAGGAATTCCTGCACAAACCATTAGATTCTTTTACAGTCTGCCGTTCCCTGGATTTCCAAAACACTGGGTAAAATCATGTAATTTAATAAAAATCAGTGCGACACGATCCTTTGAAGCCAGAAATATACCTAGTTGGTCTTCTCTGGACTGGTGTCCTTGTGTACACAATGGCTACAACATGTGAAGTTCCAGGAAAGTCACTCACTGTCTAAATGAAAGCACTAACAGCTGAGGTGAAATTTCCATCTTCAGTGGGCCACAGAGAGTTTGAGGTGGCAGCAGTGAGACTGGTGGAGTCACCAGTGGATCCTAATTTGCCCTTTGACAGATCTGACAGAAGACAGCATCTGTGGAGACACTGTGTGAGTGTTACAGTATATTGCGTTTTTTCAAGCTGACTGATTCGGAGTGGTGAAAAACTGATGATACAGGGTGAAATCTGCTTTAACACAGGAATGGTATTGGTTCAGATTGAGGACCAAGCAACCAAACTCCATGGCTGCATGTGACAAAGAGCTTTCCCAAACCTTCATCCTCCCCAACCACTGTCTGCCATGCCAGGTTCGTGACACCTCAGACAAGGACTAAAAGCAACACTGTTGTTCAGATCGTCATCATCTGTTTTCAGTAACTGTTTAATTCTCAGAAAGTCATGGAGAGCAAAAGCCTAACCTAGCCAACACAGGATGCAAGACTGCCCTTCATTCTGGATGGGATAACAGGGCACAAACACACATATACTGGGGAGTATAAAGAAATGCCAGTCAACCTGGAACACATGTCTTTGGATTGATTATGTGAGTAAACTGGAGCACCCAGAGAAAGCCTACATCAGGGATAGGCTAACCTGGTCCTTGAGACAAAGACGTCAGTTGTGTTTTCCATATCTTAATCAGGTGTTTCTTAAAAGCTGCCTCTGTAGCCTGCATGAACCTGTAACAGCCTGTCATTGTCATGCTTACTTGTCCCTGCTGTACACGGATAGTACTGCTGTACTTGTCCCTCTATCCGTGTACAGCAGAGACATGTAACCATGACATGTAAACCCCACTGGGGCACCCCAGTCAGGAAATGAAACCAGAGCAAAACACTGTAGAGACAAAAACAGCCTGGCCACTCTGCTAAACTCATTCAGACCAACAGTGAAAATAGGTCTTTAGTCTTTTTGCTTTTCCATGTTATATGAAGGAGACAGAAATAACATGAGATCCCAGAACCCTTTGGGTAGGATGTCTGTTGAGGTCAACTGCTACCATTAATTTCTAATTAACCTTCATTTAACTCGAAAGAGCTGCTTTGCAGATTTTAGTCTTACAACAGAGGTATGTAATGCAATGCACATTATATACAGTAATGTAGTAATACCGTGGTAAATACAGAATTATACAAATATTATACAACTACAGCGGTATCTGAAGTGTAAATTTTAGATGGGTAATTGACTTTCACGTTATTTATTATATTAATTGTGGTACAAACGTAATTTAGAATTATAAAACTGAATCTTATTGTTTTTATATGGCTCCTTCCTTTCATAACACGTATTAGTTACCTAAGCTGTATAACCGAAATGATACTATTCAGTTGCATTTACTGTGATAAAACTATCTTAAAGTTTAAATTATGGCTTCTTGTTTTAAATGCCACCTGTAGTAGTTTAGAATCGAGATGGTGAACTAAAAAACGAATCCAGGTAAAATGACTGTAGGAAAAGTTTTCCATATGGTGCGTTGCATATTTCAATAGCAAACTGAAGTATAGACTTCAGTTGTACACTACGACTCTCTTGTGTAATTCACAGATCACTTACAAAATAACTGCGCAAATCTTGACAGTCAAACCACACATTCCGAACTGATCTTGTGCTCACTGGAAATATAAAGGAATACAGCTTTGTTTTTAAAAAAAAATAAAAAAGACTTACGTTTTTCCATTTGTCACATGCAGTGGAAAAATAGAACAAAGGGTATTGAATTCAAAGATTCTGTAGCTTGAAGTACAACGTACACAGCGGTGTTCCGGATTTAAAACCCGCTGAGCTGGTTGGTAAATCTAAAAGGAAATGCGTGCAGCGGACTGCAATAAACTGGCAATTTGCCGTTTTAAAATTTTTGGCTGCGTTTGTGTTTTTATAGCTAAGATCTTAGGAGGATAGGGTTTATCGATAAATAGTCCCTTGCAGAAGAAAAACAATTTATGCTGGTTATCGTAACAAATGAGCACAGGTCATCAAGTAAAAGCCATTTTCTGTTCAACAATACAAAACGTGGAAAAACACTCTTATTGTTAATGAATGCAGCATAAATTTTGGTTGGCATGTCTGAACTCGATTTAAGTTGAGTGTTTGATTTGTTGAAACTGAAAATGTTGTTATTGGCGCTACAGTATGTACTGTTGTTCCTCTTGCTCAGGTCACAGTTTATTTTGAGTAATCTATTCAAAAACCAGTTTCACTAACAAGGCGTTTTTTGTGCTTAATTTCTAAATCCTCCTACAAGTTTCCTTAAAGATAGCCAGTTTTGATTTATTGATGAGCGGCGGTCAATTTAAGCCAAATTGAGATTTACTGTAGCTATGTTGTGTTATGAAGTCTGGTTTATTGGTATTTTAAAAAAAGACTGCATAACATTAGATTATATAAATAAGTTGTAAAAAAACCGTTTTTTACATTTCAAACATTTAGATTTTTTTTCCTTTACAAACATTTCTAAACAGCTCAATAAAGCTATTACGAGCCAGGCATTATAATTTTTTCGTTTCCACCGTTTTAGTCACCAAGTTACAATATTGTATGTACCTTGCTTTTTAGGATTCAGACCAAAGGAAACCAAAGTTAATTCCTGCTCTTAATCCCTTGTGCAGACTGGTTAAAGTAAAACTGAATGTTATTCTTCAGACTAAGGACTATGAAAGGTAAAATAAAATCTGTTCAGGATGTCACTCTAGGACCAACAGTGAAACTAGGTCTTGAAGACTCAAGAGAGAAACTGAGAGGGACTGCAGACAGGTCTGAAATCTTGAAATATTTATTCATATAAAGGCTGGTGGGTGTCTGAAACAAACTACTCAACCATGGTGCTGAAATATATTCCATGGGACCCATGACAAAATGGTTGGATCAACATGTTAGAAATGCAACAGCTAGATTGGCCAAATAGCTCTTTTCCTTTTTAACCTGTCTTTTGTTTTTAAAATGGCAATGTCAATGAAACCATTTTGTGTTACAAGACATATAGGAACATTTGTAGTCAATCGTTTAATTAGGAGGGTGACAGTGCCACAGTGGTGAGCATTGTTGCCTCTCAGTGCTGGGGCCTTGGATTCACTTTTGAATTTGGGTTGCTATCCGGGTGAAGTTTGTATGTTCACGTGGGTGTCCTCCGGGTCCTCCAGTTTCCTCCCACAGTCCAAAGACGTACTGGTTAGTGAATTGGCTTCTGGGAAAACTGGGCCTTCTGTGAGTGTATGTCTGTGTTTGTGTCTTTCTGTCCTGTGATGGCGTCCCATCCAGGGTGTATCCTGCCTTGGCACCTGTTGCTTTCCATGATTGGCTCAGGCTCCCCCATGACCCTGTATTGGATGAAGCAATTAGAAAATGGATGGATGGATAGTTTGACTACACTGAGATCACACAGTGTAAGAGGAACTATGTAAAAAAGCCAAAATAACTGCCAGGCATAACTCTTCAGTCAGAACCTTATCTCCTTATCTCTCCAGTTTACAGAATCTAATGTTTTTTTTTTTTATTGAGTCAAAACGTAGTAGTGGAATAACTCATATAGTGAGCATCAAAAGAAATGTATCACTTTTTTCATTCTTGTTCTTAGAAAGGTAATGTGTATATTTTGATTGTACAGTATATTGAAGAAATGCCCTCAACATTGCTTCGATTCATTGATCTGTCCCTGATAACCTGATTCAACCTGTTAAAATATCCAGCCTAAAGACATTCCAGAGACAAAAATACAATGCCCAGCTTATCAAGAGAACACTACAGTTGTGCTCTTGGTGTGCTGGAGGCTGAACAGAGTCATTGCACTCTCACTTTCTCTCTAAGGGAGCTCACAGCCAGCAAGAATAGAATACCTGGAGGAACAAAGAATTTTGGAAAATGTTGCATTTCTAAAACTTAAACTTAGTATTTTTCAACTTTATTTCTGCTTTTCTGGGTGGGATATAGAGCAGTTACACAGTCAGCATATTGTAGCTCCGAGCATGTATGAGATCACCGTGCTCAGATCAGAGAAGTATATTTACAGTACGTCTCCATTGGTTACTTGCAAATAGGCTTTGTATCATCATGTCTCTGTTGCACGCTCTATGGTAATTTGCAGTGATGTATTTAAGGCAATAAAATGACATTTCTTCACACTCCACTCATCCTTGTCTTGTTGGCAGTGCACTCTCAGAACAAATTCACGCAGGAATATACGCAGGATATTTCTGACTTTTATATTGTAAACCAGTAATGCAAAAAAATATGACTGACATGTGATGATCTTATGAGTTTTCTGACTGAATTAAACAGGGAGTAAGCATGATTTACTGCAGAGGTTTGTGGGGTACAACAATGGAAATGTAGTCATTTCTGTAATTTTATTAATTACTTATCAAGTGAAGAAAATGCATTATTGACCTCATCTGTATACAGATTTCTGACCATTTGGAATTACTTCATAATATACAGTATAACCCTGTTCCATTAAATTAAATTAATGTATAACACTAGGCCATTAAGATGTACTTTGGTTTCCTATAATACTGTGCATTTAGCTATCAAAGAATACACTCATTTAATACAAGAGGGTTAGATTAGTTACAATGCTTTTCAAGAGCCCCAAATTCAATAAAGTATTTTATTACAATATTGTCTGACTCTACAATCTTCTGTAAAAGTGGGTAAAAGCTTTGATTAGCACTAATTTCCACAATAGTATATATAGTAGGAAGGAAGGTTTCTCAAAAATCTATATTAATATCTTGACTAATTGCTTCACCAAAGCTTTTTGTGGTTCAAAAATTCTCTTTTTAATTGTGGATCCAATTTGTTCGGGCTATCAGTGACTTATGCAAGTGTTCATCAGCGTGAGCATTTTACATCGATGTACATCTATGATGCCAATGGGCCCCCCATCCTGGATCTTCTGTAACACACAGATATCTTGGTTTCGTAGCTCTCGACAAAAAAAAATGTCAACATCAGGTATGCAGTACATTAATGCTTTAATACTTTGAAAAATTATATTTAAACCAGTTATCTGCAATGTGTTTAACATGCGAAGCTTCCTGTAGAAACTCCAGTAGCCCAGCTACATCTGTTTTGCCATGCAATCGAAATATTGCTTGTAAAAAAGCTGTTCCAAGAACACCATTATTGCTGCCTCACCATCTCAAACACACTGGTCACAGCTAGAAGTACTGCCAATCCTACCAAGAAAGTGAAAAGAAGCAATTGTTGTCGGAGACTCCATTCTCTGGAATACTCTGGGAACTCTTGGGATTGTGAGATTACAACAGTTTGTTGTCTTTCAGAAACCTAAATAGCTGATATCATCCATAAAGGTGACAGGCTCCTAGCTAGGGCATGCAGCTCTATTGTTGTTATCCATGTTGGTACAAATGACATAGCCCACAAATAGCCCACTTTCCATCACTAAAAAAATTAGAGAACTGAAGAAAGGGACTAACTTGCAACTACTAACATTGGTCTTCTCAGGAATCCCGCTAACATCAAAGGTGAAAAACTACAAATGTTAATCCATCAGAATATCTCATGGATGAGGACAGGGTGTCCAAAAGGAAGCTTCAGCTTTTTTGACTTTCTGCAAAGCTTTCCAAGACAAAGGCCATCTGTAGAGATGTAACAGATCTAAAGCACAGATCCGGAAACATTTAAAATGGAATAGAAAGGGAGGAGACGCCAAAGAAAGTCAGAAAGAAAGCTATATTGAGAGCAAAGACAAAAAAAACTAAGGGCAACACAAAGTAATCAGGTAATTCATAGTTTATACCTTACTGTTGAGAGTATTAGAAACAAAGTGCATGAGATAAAAGCTACCACATTAACAGGCAATTATGATGTTATTGTAATCACAGGAGCACAATCATGAAAATGATGGAAGTGAATGTAACATTAGTGGATACATCATTCTGAAAAGACAAAAGATAAAAGAGGAGGATGTGTAGTGCTCTATATTAATCTGAATATGCTATTTTATACTTCTATAGAGAATTAAGATTGTTTTGTGTAAAAGACGTTTTTATGGGAGACTTTAGCTCCCAACAACAGGCAATGGGCACAAGGCAGAATACATGATGGACAGGACTCCATCTTTTCCAGTTTTCCCAGAAGCCAATTAACCTACCAGTATGTCTTTGGACCCACATAAACATAGGGAGAAAATTCAAACCCAACATTAAAGTATAGGAGATATGTGCTGTGCTTCTAACCTTCTAACGTTAACCATACAGGAACCTGTGGGAGAGCAAGCCGGCTTCTCCCGTTTAACCCTATGGAAAATACAACATATGCCCTGGTCTAACCGAAACCCTAAAACTAAACAGATGTCATGACCAGATGATTAGCCAATTAGACCTTTCCTCTTGGATTCTGAACTTGTTTATGGAGAGAAATTATTGCACACCATTGCAGTTAGTCTTGCTTCCCCTGTGAATGCCTGCACTTCTCTGTTAATGGCCTCTGAGCTGCACATCCACAGTGTGACTCACCACAGAGAGCTCAGTGAAACCTAAATAGACAGCTTTTACAAGTACAGGAGCAATTGTTTGTCAATTTCCTCAACTGTTGAATGAAAGGGTAAGTCTGTATAAGCCAGGACTGGAACAAAACTTAGACACAGATGCTAATACCCACAATCTTATTGACAGTGACATGAGGTATTTAAAGATAAAACAGTAAAGTCCTTGGTCTAACCTCTTATCCAAAAGACTGTACTCCCTTACAGCACAGTGTCCCTAGTCACCATAATGCGACGTTGGTATTGGAAATTCAGGTCCAGAGGTATCAGTGGGTGCTACCTATTTTTCTATCAACACCACTGGCAGCAGCAAGGTTTTTTTTCACTGGATGTCACCCATCCCAGGACTGACCAGGACTTGTTGCTTAGCTTCTGATATCCAAAAAACAGGCTTCATATTGGAAATGGTGCCGCCGAACATGGACATGTTTATGGATATGTTTGTAAGAAATTTTCAACATTCGTCTTTTATAACAT